AACTATGGTTGAAAATAATCAATTGTATTTCACTTTGTGTTTCTATGGGGGTGCAAACTGTTGAAATCTTTACTTAATGCATACTAAACTGATCCTCTGTAAAAAAAAAAAAAAAAAAAAAAAAAGAAAAAGAAAAGAAAAGAAACTATCAACTCCCAACTTGACTCTCACTGGGATTAAACATGACAATAGGTCTGCTCTGATTTCATCATCATTTAAAAAAAATCATGTATTATTTTTCACTTTATGTTTCTGTGTGGGAGCAAACTGTTGAAATCCATACTTAAGGTATACTAAGCTGATCTTCTGTATATTCACAGAAGAAATAGTGAATCTTGATGTGAATGGAAGGGGAGAGGGAGTGGGAAAGGGGAGGGTTGTGGGTGGGAGGGACGGTATGGGGGGGAAGCCATAGTAATCCATTATTCGTACTTTGGAAACTTATATTCATTAAATAAAAGTTAAAAAAAAAAGAAATAAATAAATAAATAAAAAAAATAATCAATTGTATATTCCAAGATAACTAAAAGAGAATTTTGAGTGTTTCCTAAACAAAGAAATGATAAATGTCTGAGGTGATAGATATAGATATGTCAATTACTCTGATGTGATCATTCACATTATATACAATCACTGAAATACCACACTGTACTCCATAGATGTATAATTACTATGTGTTACTCTTGAGGAGGCAAGAGTAGAGGCATCCTGGGGATAGATTGGTGGCTTGGCCTTAATAGATTGTTGCAGAGTTGCCAATGCTCCCTCTTTTTGAGGAAAATTCCTTATAACCCATTGCCCTTTTCATCCTTTGTCCTTGTCCCATGGACTAGAATCCTGTGTCTTGTCCTTTCCAAATTCATTCTCACATTGCTGCCAGAGTGAGCATTCTAAAATGGAGTACGATTTTAAAAAACTCGGTAGCTCCTCATCTTTCACAGGATGAAGCCACATCATTTGCCTTGCCCTGAAAGCACTTCCTTTCTGGCCTTTCTTTCAACGTTCCTGTTTTCAGACTTGCATCAAGCATTCTGTGCACCTGCCATGCATGGCTATTGGCAGGTCCTTAAAGACACCTCTGTTCTTCCCTCCTCTATGTTTTTCTTATGCTTCCTCTTTTATCTGATAGTTTCCTTCCCTTCTGTATCATTATTACACTTCTAAAACATGGCTCAGGTGCCCAGTTTTACTGGTGTAACCAGTGAGAATTGTCCTTTTCTCTCATTCTTATGATGTCAACACTCCTCCTACATCACTGCTTTTTCCTCCAGGGAGGAGCCTCCCACTGGCTCATAACTTCTTGAAGCTAGAGGCCATGTTGATTCAGCTTTGTAGTCTTGCTCCTCTCTACTCAGCTTAATACTCAATGAATGGATGAATAATTGCTTCCTGGACTAGGTCTCCTTGTTTACTAAGGGGGAAACTGTTACATCTGCTATGTTTGCCTGTTCAGCTTCCCTTCCCTCTATTTTAATAACAGCACCCCTGTATTCCCCAGTTCCTGGGCAGCTCCTTCTACAACTCTGTGAGCTGTCCAGGAGTCTCCCATAGCACTTCCTTCCTTGACTAAGTGTAGGGAATCTATTGATGTAATGGTAGCCATTTTGGACTTAACTGCCATCATATACTCCAGGTAACCCTGATAGAAATCCTCAAACTTATGGGATAAACAAAGGCATTAAGATAGTCTGCTGGGCTTGTCTTGCTGGGCTAGACCCTGGAATATTTTTTATCTAACACCTGGAATTTTGGGACTGGCACTGTAGCATAGTAGGTTAAACCTCTACCTGCGGTGCCAACATCCTATATGGGTGTCAGTTTGTGTCCTGGCTGCTCTTCTTCCTGTCCAGCTCTCCGCTTAACTGGCCTGAGAAAGCATCAGAGGATGGCTCAAGTGCTTGGGTACTTCACTCAAGTGCTTGAGCTCCTGGCTCCTGGCTTCGGATCTGCCCAATTCTGGCAGTTGCGGCCATTTGGAAAGTGAACCAGCGCATGGAAGACCACTCTCTCTGCGACTCTGCTTCTCAAATAAATAAATAAATCTAAAAAAAAACCTGGAATTTTTTTTACAGATTTATTTACAGAGAGGCAGAGGCAGGGAGAGAGTGAGGTCTTTTATCCACTGGTTCACTCTCAGATGGCCGCAATGGCTGGAGCTGCGCCAGTCCAAAGCCAGCAGCCAGGAGCTTCTTCCAGGTCTCCCATGTAGGTGCAGGGGTCCAAGGACTTGGGCCATCTTCTACTGCTTTCCCAGGCGATAGCAGAGAGCTGCATTGGAAGTGGAGCAGCAGGGACTCTAACCAGCGCCCATATGTGATGCCGGCACCTCAGGTGGCGGCTTTACCCACTACATCACAGTGCGGGCCCCCAATACCTGGAGTTTTTAATATTTCTTGAGAAAGTCTAGGTGGCTTGGGTTAGCAGTAGGCCACCTTTGTTTAGCTTAATAAATAAATATTTTACTATGATGTAGGGATCCATGTCTAGGGGCTACCCGAGACCATGTTTCTGTCAGTCTCCTCAATAACTTATGTTCTATGGAATCTTAGGTTTGCCCTCTTTCTTCAGTTTCTTAGTTCCTTCTGCCTGTGGTGGCTGCTTCTCATACATAGGGTTTTTCTCGTGTGTGTGTGTGTGCGTGTGTGTGTGTGTGTGTGTGTGTGTTTTCCAAAGCAACTCTGTTAGTTGGAGTTCTGGCCACAGTCCTGTTCCTCCACATGATGGCATTTAGGTGAATGAGGCAGTGCCGGGGCTCACTGTTTTCCTCTGTCAGCGGAAAGGGAAGAGGTCTTTGGATTCCTGTGGCATCCCCAGATTATTCTGGTTTCCATGACAGTGCCTTTTGTTTCCATGACAACACCTCTTGTCCCCTTGAGGGCTGCTTGTCCTGCTGGCATTGTGTCTGAAGTCAAAGCTGGTGCTACTTGCAGCCTGATTTCTCTTGGCTTAGCAGAGGCTGCAGCGCTTCCTGGCGGCCAACCTCACCTGACCCCTGTTGGTTCTAACATCTCCACTGAGCGTTTAAATGTCCTCTACCTGCTTCAAGTTGGTGGGATGGGGTGTTGGGATAGGGCCCATTCTCTTACTGAGTAACCCCTCATCACAGTAGATTCTATGGTTGGAATGCTCACTCTCAGATTTGGCTACTTTCTGCTTCTGCTTCCTCTTTCCAGGACCCAGTGGGGACTCCTGGGTTCCTGTATCTGGGAGGCAGAGAAGGCAGCTTGAAGGAGCTGAGCTCTGGCTGTCTCTTTCTGATCATGGTGTTCCACTGAATTTTACTTTGATGTGGCCAATCTCTAAGTTCTTATGGCTGTGTAGGGGTGTCAGGCCCACAAGGTAACCACCTCCTAGGATTCCAAATAGGAAGAGGGCAAGAGGACTCCCCTCACTGACTGCTGTCTTCAAAGAGTCAGGATTTCAACCCATGGAGAAAACCTGGAGCACAGTCTGGCTATCTCCCCATCTGTTTTTTTTTCTCTTCTATCTTCTGCCCATCCTCTGCCTTCAGTAGCATTGAATTATAGGGGATGGGCTTCTCCTTTACTTTTGTTTTATATCCCCTTTCTCCTCTGCCTCTAATTTTCTGGCTTTCTTATCTACACCATGGGAAAAATTCTATGTAAAACTGATATATTAAATGGGAACAAGAATTTAGCCTTTACCCATATTGCTTTGCTTTAAATTTCAGTAGCCAACTATTATCATTTTTTAAAGGTTTTTATTTATTTGTTTGAGAGGCAGAGTTACAGAAAGAGAGAGGGAGAGATGGAGATAAAGGTCTTTCATCTGCTGGTACACTCCCAAAATGGCTGCAACAGCTGATGCTGGGCCGATTGGAAGCCAGGAGCCAGGAGACTACTCTGGGTCTCCCACATGGGTGCAGGGGCCCAAGCATTTTGGCCATCCTCCACTCCCCTCCCAGGCCATTAGTAGAGAGCTGGATTGGAATAGGAGCAGCTGGGACATGAACCAGCACCTGTATGGGATGCCAGTGCTGCAAGCAGAGGCTTAGTTTACTATGCCACAGTGCTGACCTCCTACTATTACCTTTCTTAATATTCCTCTATCACATTGCTTCCCTGGAGCCAAGATTAGCAGGTAACCTGGGGGCTGGCCCCATGGCTCACTTGGCTAACCTGGCGCCGGGTTCTAGTCCCGGTTGCTCCTCTTCCAGTCCAGCTCTCTGCTGTGGCCTGGAAGGCAATGGAGGATGGCCCAAGTGCTTGGGTGCCTGCGCCTGCATGGGAGACCAGGAAGAAGCACCTGGCTCCTGGCTTTGGATCAGCGTGGCGCCGGCCGTAGCAGCCATTTAGGGGGTGAACCAGTGGAGGGAAGACCTTTTTCTCTGTCTCTCTCTCACTGTCTAACTCTGTCAAATAAATAAAAATAAAAAAATTTTAAAAAAAGAAAAGCAGGTAACCTGGATGACTGGATAAGTACATGAATGTACATTAAAGTTTTAAAAAATATTTTCTCTTCAACCATTGATTGAAGAACCCTAACTGATACATAAATCACAATTTGCCTGTAGATGATTTAATCTTTCCTGTTTGTTGGGGCCTTTCTAATAGTATCCAAGAGGGATTTCGTTCTGAACATAAAGAGAAACAGATGTGACAATCCTATTGACTATAGAACAGGGATGCAAGTCAGACCAAGTGAACAGAAGCCAACCCCATCCCATGATACCATGTAGTGATGCAAACTGCCCTGGAACCCACGTGCAGCCTGTACAGTCTGTGGGAAGCAGGAGCCAGTTTTGGACAACTCTGTAGTTGGAAAGAAATCCCTGCATTTGACTGAGTTTATCTACTACCCATGATAAGGATATTTTTCTCTATGTGGCAAGTTGAGAGCTAAGAGTTAATATGTTTAAAATGATAAAGAAAGAAGCAATTGGCACTTTCAGATTTTTGTGAAAATTATCTCTCTTGTGTGAAGTTGGGTTTGTTGCCCTTTAAGTCAATTACTCACTAATTATTTTTTGCATGCTTCAGATGTGTGAAACCCTGGAAGAATTATAATGAAGATGTTTACCATCAAGTTTGCAAAGAAGTGGCAGGAGCCTGAAATCATCAAGAGAACATTAAATGCCAGAACATAGAAGATTTGAAGGTTCTTTAGGACTTTGTTGAGCAGAGTCCCATCTTGGAGCAGCTAGTCAGAAAGAAAGAGATGATCAATGATGAGCATTCTTTCTTATTGTTGGAGTGGGAGGTTTTAGACAAGCAAAGGGTACAGGTTATAAGGATCCATGTGATGATGGTGGAAACATCAGTATAATTCAGATACAGATGATTGCAATAGAAAAGTTTTAGGTGGCTTATATTCATTGGTTAGCATACACACATTTATTTCCTTGCTCTGTCAGCTCAGAGTGTCTAGAAGAAATGATTCTCCAGCAGCAAAAAACACACTTAGCACCCAGATCTCAGTTTCTAATACCGTTCTCCAACGAGAGGAATAGGGAATTTTGGTAAAATGGCTAACTCTAGGACTCAGGCAGGAAATACACAAAATGAACTTGAGCCTCTTATAGTGACAAGTAAGGAAACACTAAAAAAACCAAGACAAAACAGATGATGGGGGCATGTCATAGGAACACAGGAGCCAGCCAAAAGTTCTCAGTGGCCAAAGCTGAGACAATTTGAGCAACAAAATAAAGTAGTAGTTTGGGTTAGACCCCAAAGTGTCAAATAAATATCTGTGAGTATCTGCTGATAGAAACAAATCACTGAAAAAGTAGAGAATAGATGCTATTTCACTATGAACAAATCCAAATAATTCATGTACTTATTTGCTCTCAAGGTTGAGAAGCAGAACTTCCTACTCATTAAGTGTGGGATGTGCACAGTGACTTTCAAAAAGGGAATAAGAGGGAGGTGAGGGGAACGGAGAGTAATTTCACAGAAGGAAAACCTGAAAAACACTACTTAAGCCAGGTGATGAAGATTAACATCAGCAGTGATTCCATATATACCCTGGATGTGAAAAGAATGGAACTTTACATCCATGGTCTTCCTCCCTGAAACTCATAATCTCTAATTATGAGAAATTATCAGACAGATGCCACTTGTGTGGCATTCCATAAAATACCCAACCAGTACTTCTCAAAACCATCAAGATCAGTTTTTTATTAAACTAAACCCAAGTTTACACTGATGCCTCCACTTGAATCCACTACCACAAGGACCATGCTATCCTTTTCCCCTTGCTTACTTGTAATTATGAAACACCTGGCCAGTGCTTTTCCAAACTGTCAAGGGCATCAAAAACAAGGTTAAAACAAAATAAGTATTACAGCCAAGAGGAACCTAAGGAGACAGAACAACACAATGTAGTATGGTACCTGGATGTAATCCTGGAGGAAGAAAAGGTAAAAACTCAGGAAATCTGAATAAAGCACAGACTTTGTGAATAGTATTGTGTGAACACTGGTTCAGTAATTGTGACAAGATGTTAATAGGCATTGGCGCTGTGGTGTGGTAGGTTAAGCCCCTGCCTGTGGTGCCGGAATCCCACATGGGCACTGGTTCCTGCCCTGGCTGCTCCTCTTCTGATCCAGTTCTCTGCTATGGCCTGGGAAAGCAGTAGAAGATGGCCCAGGTGCTTGCGCCTATGTAGGAGATGCAGAAGCTCCTGGCTCCTGGCTTCAGATTGGCCCAGCTCTGGCCTTTGGGACCATTTGGGGAGTGAACCAACTGATGGAAGACCTTTCTCTCTGTCTCTCCCTCTCTCTGTAACTACCTCTCAAATAAATAAATAAAAATCTTTTAAAAAATACGGTAATAATAGAGAAAAGAGAAGGATAAAAATTCTCAACTATTTTTGCAATTCTTTCCTGTAAATAAAAAAATAGTTTTTTTAAAACATATGTCATGGTGAAAGAAATCACTGATAAGCTGACATCATTTTTTGTCTTTCTCATGTAGTAATTAGGTAACTAGTTTTGTTTCTAACTCTCCAGGCCTGTTTATTCCCAGTTCACAAGTTTTAGCAATGGTGACATATGATAATACAGAGAAAGTACACTGTAGTTTCTTTCCTTTCTTTTTTCTTCTCCCTCACCCTTGCCGTATAGGGTCCAATCCACCACTCCAGTTTCACTGAAAATATCCCATCTACTCTTAAAAGGTCTCCTTGCCCTTCTTCCCTCAGTTCTGGTCTTGTCATTTGACAAGCAATTCTTGGATTTATGCTTGCTGAGAAGTCCTTTCCAAATAATAATAATCTTTGCCTTTTGACAGGTGAGTGTCTCATTCTCCTGAGAGTAGCAGACCTAGGTAGCAGACAGATGGCTGTGTGCTTGTCCATCAGGCGAGCCTTCTGGCTCTTTCCCGGTCTCGCTGCTCTTTAGATCAGATTCTTCATTAACATTCACCACACCTGTCTGGTTGTAGCAGGAAAGAACACTGAACTAGAAAAGCCAAAGCTTGAATTTTAAGGTCTAGCTTTGCTTCCTGCAGTGCAGCCTTGGGGGAGTCACTGCTTCCCCAGGTCCTGATTTCTTTGCCTTTAACTGGGGAAGCACACAGTCTTATCTCTTTCCCAGGGCTGTTCGAGGATCAATTAATAAACATGAAGGCACAACTAAGACGCGCTGAATGCTTACTGTGTCCCAGGTAGTTTCAATGCATTTTTCACAGCAAGTCTCTGTGACAAATGCTATTACTAGGGTGATACTTCAGTGGGAAAATCTGTCCTTGGAGAGGTTAAGTCCCTTGTCAAAGGTCACATGCTAGTATAAAATGGAAGAAGGGGTTGATCCCAAGTCTGCTGCTCCCAAATCAGAGCTCTGACTTGTGATACTGCATTGTCACCCTTTGAGGCTTATGCCAAAGACTGCCCCCTCAGCTGGTACGGTAGAAATAAATATTCAGTCCTCGATTTAAACTCCATTGAGGAAATACTTTTTCAATGTAAAATTCCCCTTCAGCAGCCCCCCTCCCCCCCCAGAGTAGTCAGTCTGGCTTCTTACATTTAAGGATAGAGACTGTCAGGATATTTCTTCCTCCAAAAGATACATATTTTCCTTTTATTTCCAATAATTAGAAAACATTTTTCCCAATACTTCACAGTTGATTCAGTTTTGTAAACCAAAAAGTCACAAATTTTACTAAGCATGGAATCACTGGGGGATCTTAGAATGCAGATTCTGATTCAGTAGGTCTAGGGTGGGGCTTAAACTTCCACAGTTTTCTGTTGAAATCTTTACTTAATGTATGCTAAACTGATCTTCTGTATATAAAGAGAATCGAAAATGAATCTTGATGTGAATGGAAGGGGAGAGGGAGTGGGAAAGGGGAGGGTTGCTGGTGGGAGGGACGGTATGGGGGGGAAGCCATTGTAACAATAATAAAAAATAAAAAAAAAAATAAACTTTCACAGTTTTCAACAAGCTCCATGCGATGCTAATGCCTGTGGTCCCAGAACACATTGTGAGGACAAGATGATGGTCTACACAGGCAAGGGTGCACAGGGCCAGTGGTGTTTCAGGTGCTTCAAGAACTCTGTGACCAGGGAGCTCACAGGGTCTGATCACAGCCCTCTTCAGGGTCCTGGAAGGTGGGGACCAAGGCTCAGTGCTTGTCCTTGCTCTGGTGGTTCTCTTTTTTCAGTGGAATGCAGTGAAAATGTCCCTGTCCTGGCTTACACAGCGTATGCTTTCTGTGACTACCACACTATGAGGGGTAAGGGGTCAGCTTTGACAAACCAGTGATTGGAGACAGCATTAGAATTCTCTTCTGAGGAGCTGGTGTTGTGGTATAGTATGTAAAGCCATTGCCTATGATGCTGGCATCCCATAAGGGCCCCTGCAGGAGTCCGGGCTACTCCACTTCCCATCCAGCTTCCTGATAATGGCCTGGGAAAAGCAGTGGAAGAAGGGCACAGTTGAGAAACCTGGAAGAAGCTCCTGGCTCCTGGCTTCAGTTGGGCCCAGCACTGGTCATTGCAGGCATCAGGGGACATGAACCAGAAGATGGATGACCTCTCTCTGTCTCTCCCCCTTTCTCTGTAACTTTAACTTTCAAATAAATAAATACATCTTTTTAAAAAAAGGAATTTGGAGATTACCTGTGAGTTTCAATGTCAAGGGAGGGCATGCTTGACATCAAAGAATTGGGAGTTTATTCTACAAAATACCAAGGAAGTTACAGGCAATAACAGTTACAGGCAAACGATAGTACATTATTTTTCTTTTTTAATCACCAATTACTTTATGTCTTTATGTCTCCTGGATAGAAGTTGATGACAGAAATAAGAACATACTTATCACATAGGTCTAGGCTCAACATTTACCGTTTTATAAGAGTTGAGTTTAACTTATCCTTTAGTTCTTATAGAATGCTTTTGATTTAAGTCTCCAGGTCAGGAAACCACTCTTTGCAAGGGAACAAAACCCTGCATATGATCCTAAGTAATATATTTATTAAAAATTTTTGAATTTTATTTTATCAAATTTTAAAATTTATTTATCAAAAGACAACCAGAGAGAGAAAGACTGACAGAAGAAGCTTCTGTCTTCTGGTTCACTCCCCAAATGCTGACAACAGCTGGAACTGAACCAAGATGTAGCCAGGAGCTGGGTATTCAACCCAGGTCCTCCACATGTGTGGCAGGGTCTCAAGCGCTTGAGGCACCATCTTCTGCTTTCCAGGAGCTGCAAAACCAGGGAATTGGAATTGGGAGCCAAAGTCAAATATTGAACCCACATACTCTGATATGAAACATGGACATCTTAACTGCTAGATCAAAAGCCCACCCCTTAAGTAATGTGTTTTAATGTCCCAAAGTGTAATCACAGAAAAAAAAAAGGTCTCATTTGACCATTTCACTTTGAAAGATATCTTTGATACACTAGTGTACTGTAAAAACAAAAACAAAACAAAACAAAACCCAAGAAAACCCCAGAAACTCCACTTTTCCAGATTGTCCTGCTTCTTGACCAATCGTCTAGGTTCTTTCTTACTTCCTGATAATTCCTGCCACCTGTTAGGGATGCTAGTTCTGGGCCCCTAATATCTGCATATTCCATGTCCACTTTTCCTGTCTCTTCTCATTCACCTAGCAAGCTAGTTTGTGCTAACATGTCATCTCTAGTTTTCCTCAGGAAGCCACTATCCTACCCTGCAAACAAACTGGATGGATGTAGGCCAGTCAAGAGCCCAGTGGACTTGGGTGAGAGTGACCAATGTGTGTAAAGAATGACAGCTAGACAAATAAGTAATAAAAATGAAATTCAAATGTTTCAAGAAACATTTTCCTTGGGGGCAATTTTTTATTAAGCAACTATTAACCTTTCTTTGCATGAAGTGTTGGCTTCATTACTCCAAATTTTAATGTGTTAAATGACACCAGTTAAATACACAACAGCATACTTTTCTACAGTTTTATACTCTGAGAAGTTTCAGATAGTCAAAAACAAACCAATACTTGTTAAGTAAAAAGACTATGACTAGAAGCCAGATTGGATGGCTTAAGTAGATTGGATGAATAATCTAAGAAACTGGGTTAGGGGCTGGCACTGTGGCGTAGTGGGTAAAGCCGCTGTCTGCAGTGATGGCATCCCATACAAGGGCTGGTTTGAGTCCCGGCTGCTCAATTTCTGATCCAGCTCTCTGCTGTGGCTGGGAGGGCAGTAGATCATGGCCCAAGTCCTTGGGCTTCTGCACCTGCATGGGAGACCTGGAGGATGCTCCTGACTCCTGGCTTCAGGTAGGCACAGCTCCAGCCATTGCAGCTATCTTGAGAGTGAACCAGTGGATGGAAGATCTCTCTCTCATTCTGCCTCTGCCTCTGCCTCTATGTAATTCTGACTTTCAAGTAAAAAAATAAAATCTTTTTTTTTAAAGAAGAAACTAATTTGAAAAGATTGTCGCTCCCCCTCTTCATGGAGGAATGACACTAAACCCTGCCTAGGTTTCCTATCTGAGTCACGGCACCATTATGTCGCCCCCCCTCTTCGTGGAGGAACGACACAGGACCCTGCGCTGTTCTTTCGTCTGCTCAGCCCTTCCCGGGTTTGCTGCTGGTTCTTCCTGGGTTGGCTACCGACCCTTCCACCTCCGTGGAAGGGCAGTTCCCCCTGCCACTTTCCCCACTTCCGCGGGGGAGCGGCACACCGCTGGTCGGCTCTCTCGGGGGCTGCACAGGTGTTCCTTCAGATAGATGTTCCTGGTGCATGTTGTCTCTCTCCTCCTTTATAGTCCTCTTCCACCAATCCCAACTCTGCTACCCACACGCTGAGTACGCTGCTCTCCTCCAATCAGGAGCAGGTCCTGCTGCTTATTGGTTGAACTGGAGGCAGCTGTGTAAAAGCTGTTTCCTCCTCTCCCAGCGCCATATTGTGGGAGAGCAGATGCATAGAATAAGTCTTAATTCGACTAACAGTCTAGTCCGAGTTGCTCCCCACAAAGATCAAGAGGGAGAGATATCTTCAATCTAGGGTCATTAACATTAGAACTGCTAAACGAAGGGGTATGGTTGCAAAATTTCTGTGAAAGATTGCTAAGGATATCAATGACACAGGTATGGCTCATGAAAATCAAGCAATCCATTTAGGACCCAACCTTTTAGCTTGTTGGTTTCATATTTTTGTGAATCAACTGAAATCAACTGCTCCTTCTGAGGGATTCTACCTCCATCACTCAGGGACTGTTAATTATAATTCATTATCTAGAAACATAGAGGAACTGGAACTTTTAAAATGTTCCCTTGAAAATAAAATATTTCTCTCCCTGATGTCTCCTTTTAGATGGAAGTAGGGTCAATTTTAGTTTGATAGGGTAAAGGCAATTTTGTATGAAGATTTATACTTATTTGAAAGAATTATAAAGAGTTAGAGGCAGAGAGAGAGAGACAGAGAGAGAGAAAGTCTTCCATCCACTGGTTCACTCCCCAAATGGCAGTTAGGTGGGCCAATTTGAAGTCAGGAGCCAGGAGCTTCTTTCAGGTCTCACACAGGTGCAGGGACCCAAGCACTTGGGCCACCTTCTACTATTTTCCCAGGCCATAACAGAGAGCTGGATCTGAAGAAGAGCAGCCAGGACTTGAACAGGCACCATGGGCTACACCACAGCGCTGGCCACTGAGTAAAACCTATTTAACATGTTCGTCTCATGGTATGGACATGAACTTTCTACTGTGCAATATTCCCACAAGTCATCTTTCTGAAGCATTAAGAGCTGATGTTACCAAGTCAATCATCCAAAGAAGGTGGAGCCAGAACCAGGAAAACAGGCTTCAGACAGGATTGTGAGTAAGAATCATGTTTTTCTTAGGCATTGTGTTTCTTGCCTTGAGCAATTTAGACCAGTGGTGTTTTACTGATGTATCACTGAGAGTTGTGAAACATGCAGCAAATCATTCATTTATTCTTTGACGTTTCCAATGAAAGCCGTCACATTTAATCACAGTGAGTTACCACCCGTTTGTAAGTGGGGGCAAAGGGGATGGACAGAGCAGTTGCTCTTAACCTACAGTTGCTGTAGCAGCTGCTAAGTCAGGCAAGGACCCAGCACCTCTCCTGAGTATTGCAATACAGTCAAGGTTCTGACATCTGGTCCAGCCATGTTTGAGGGACTCCTGGGTGGAGGTGTGGGCGGGGAGAAGATGGCCTTTGTCACATGACAGTTTGCTATGAGCTGGGCACTAAGCCTATGCCATAAATCAGATTATCTTTTGTTTTCCTTTTGTGAGCCTCTGACTTTAGCAAAATTTGCCCAAGTGTTCTAACTTTGTCCCAGGTGTTCTGTGGGGAATTCAGGATATGGTCTGTATTCAGCACTTGATAACATTAGAAAGGAGAGAGGATCAGTCAGATGATAGCAGTGGAGCCCCCTGAGACATCTCTAAGGGAGAGGTAAGCCACAGAGAACAGTTGGGGTTATGAGGCCCAGAAGTGCTAATTCATAGAAGACAAACTTTCTTAACAACTTTGAAGACTGTGGGTCTGGTTGTGTCAAAGAAGTCGATGGCTCCCTTCTCAAAGATTCTTCAGCTTTGTGCCCTGATGAGGCTCTTAAATTCTATTATTAGATATTTTTTCTCAGAGGTATGTATAGAGACCAGAGATTCATAGTGAGGCTCACTTTGGTTCAGAGAGGTGCCGACCATTTCTAGTTTTTGCGACTCCTAGAATAATCATGGTTCAAAAACAGCTACGTAGAAATGAGGTAGGACTCAAAGAAAAGTCAAATGCTCTTCTGTTTTTCCTTCTGAATTAACATACCCATTACTGAAGTGTGTCTGGCTTTAGTGTAGTATCTATCATATTAAGCCAGGTGAGACTGTGCAAGAGTTAAAAATTGGATAATTGCTGAAATTCCAGGTCAGCATTAGTCTTGTAACCTCATCAATGTCTTCTCATGCCACTCCTGAGGGTCTTTGTTTACCATCAAGCACCAGGGTCAGCATCAGGACCCCTGGCAGAGACTCCTGTTGGATTACAGTGATGGCCAGGATGGTATGAACAAGTAGCTTGGCTTCCTGAATGGCTGATTCAGTTACATGATAGTTTATCATGAAGCAAAGCATTTTTCCAAAGCAACTGCTTAGATGGCAAAATATTACCCCTTCCAAAGGGGAAAATTTGGTTTGGTCCTCCGGCTGTCCATACTCATGCTGATTGACAACGCAACAAATATTCATTTAACCTGAAGTGAAGAATCTAGACTGCTCTCTGGGAGATGCAGGTTCTCAATCCTGACATTTTTGGTAACTTCAGACCTTTGGAGATGGTGTGATTTGAGGTCCCAATGTATATAGATAATGACATCTCCCCAATTTGTGCCTTTCTTTGCACCATTAAGTATCAGATAAAAATTTTTTTTCTCCATTCTTAATATCTTCTGGAATCTCCCAGTCTCAATACTGGGAAATTGATTTCTCCCATATGCATGCTGAATGTCTTTAAAAACCTTTTAATGCATTGTTCTCTTTTGGCAAAAATCACAATTTAAAGTAGGAAAGATGGCAACCAAACATTTAAAAATATGCCAAAGTGCCACTTTCAGTTCCTCTCAGCACTGCCAACATTTCTCAGAACACCAAACTTGCTCTAACTGCACGTTAGCTGTGAAATAAGACAAATTTGATAAAAATAGAAATGAATGGTTCTATTCTTTATGAAACAAGACAAATTATGCTTTGGGAGAATATATACTTTGCTATAAAGTATAAAAGGTTTTAATATTCATATCTTATAATAAAACCATGACATGTTTATAAACACTCTAGCAAGCATTTTTACAGTGGGGCCACTGCTGGCAATGGGAACCGCAATAAATATGCAAGGACACACTGAGTATGAAATATACATCTTGATTTTATAATCGTGTGTGCTTTATTTTTTACACAAATGGAATGGAAGTGTTGAATATTTACACTTAACAGGAGTGTAAGCTGTGCAGTATCTCTGTAAACTCCAGCCCAGGCAAGGAGTATCGCCCCCCTCCCATCCTGCACTACAGCTCCATCGAGAAACGTCCTGTGAGAAGCACAAAATCATCATTTGGAAAGGATCTAACAGGTACAGCCAGGTGCACTCAGAAGTGAAGACACACTTAGGAAACACAAATTCAAAAAGGAGAGAAGGAACGTTTGCCATCCCATCGGGAGTCAACCTTGCCACTTGGTCGTCTGTCCTCACGAGTTGCCGGGGGAGATTCTGTACTCTTTTAGATAACCTTCGTCTAAACTGTCTGCCTGTCTTAGTTTGTCCTCAGCTGCTACAAGAAACTGCACAGCTGTACAAGAAATGATTCCCGAAGCACAGGTTTCAGTGAGGAAGGATATTTACAGACTGAAGTGTGTGTGTGTGTGTGTGTGCGTGTGTGTGTTTTCAACCATATTCATTCATACCCAACATAATATGTGTATACATGATATGCATACCACAGATACCATACATACACATAAGTAAAATGTATATCCACAGAATTCTGTAGGGGGGTTCCCTGGAAAATCAGTTGTCACAGGAGATACTCCACATGCTTTAAGGGAATTGATCCTTCCCCCCGCTTTAGGAATGACAAATTATCATGATAAACTTAGGAACTAGCCTGAGTCCTTGGCTTTAAATGTTTTTTGTAGGAATTTAGGCAGGACCAAGACAGCAAAAAAGAGATGTCAGTTTTACCAGCGAGTCCATTCAATCTCACCAGAGCAGTCACCAGCTGAAAAGCAGAGGGGGCTTCACATGAAAATGGAAAAAAGAAAGCTTATGAAGGGGGAAAAAGGTCTCTCTCCAAACCAAGGTGATGGCATGGCTTCAATGAGAAGGAAGTGGTTTGCTGTCAGGGTAGTTGTTGGGGCCACAGTCTGCCTGTGTTGAAAGCAGGGTGTCCTCAGAGCCACAGCGTGGTGTTGGGAGGGGGCTCGTGTAGGACCAGCGTCCAGGCAGAGGCACCCAGGTGCCGCGAGGCCCACAGCACATGCATCATCGCTGCCGGGGCAGCGGTGCAGGCTGGCTCCCGGAGGCGTGCTGGAGGTGGCTCCAGGTCAGGGCCTCATGCTCAGCTTTGCTTTCGGGGCTGAGTAAGTGAAACGGCGACCCAAAGTATTTGTGTCATTAGTCCTGTGTATGGACTTGCTGTCTGACTCAGCCATGAGCCCTTGATAGGACAGGAAAATTAAAGAGCGGGGTGTGGGGAACATGATCAGAGACGTGAGAGAGGAGAAAGGACAAGAAAGGAAAAGGAGAAGAAGAAGGGCAACGAGTGCCTGAGACAAGAGAGACACAGAGAGAACAGGAGTAAAAGAGAAAGTAATGACTCAGAGAAGATAGGACGGGAGAACAAAAGGAGGACACAACAAAATACGCAGAATGACAGAGAAATAGGAGAGTGGAGGAAAAGATGGGGGCAGGAAAGAGGCAAGAGCCAGAGGTGTGGAGAGCTTCTCTCTGGCTTGAAGTCCTGAAGGGCTGGCAGTAGAATCTAAGACAGCTTACGGAGGCACCCGAGCACAGCTTCATAAAGAATGGCTCGCCAAGCTGAGAGAGCAAACTCAAGGATTTTGGGCTGGGAGAGAAGAGGCCTGCAAATAAAAGGCCAATAAATCTTGTGGGAGGAGAGGAAAAAAAAAAAAAAAAAAAACCCAAATGCCCCTGCAATTAGCTGACAAAAGGGATTGTGATTTTCTTAAAGCTGAGACCCCCGTGGTGCTACACATTGTACCAGAGCATGAAAAATAGCACCAGTGACACGATCTGGCACTTTTCCGAAAGGGCCCAGCATGTGAAGGTGACGTTGCGCCCCCAGCAAGCCTTCATATTGGAGAGAGCTCTGGACAAAGTTTGCAGTGTTAGCACCAGTCTGGCTCCAGGCTCCAAGTGCATTCGCACCAGACGTAATCTGGGTAACTTTCAGGCCATTTCCACACAAGTCATCAGATTTGCTGCAAAATACACCAGTTCATTGGAGCCATAGAGACCTCAACATTGGGCAGCGCAAGACAACACAACAAATGGACGTGTAAATTCTACAGGAAAAGACCCTCTCACCAATTTGCTTGGTGATTCTTCAAGCAAATATATATGTATATATATTTATACAAATCTACATAAAAAATCAGTGCAAATGCCAATTCTAATCTGGAAGTATCTGCACTAGAAAATAAATAATTATATTACTACAAAACAAAGGGTTGGTGGTTCAATTTGATTGTATGCAGCCACAGCAATACTATTAAATGGAAAGCACATCACACGACCTAAGAAAACATCTACTCATTAATGACAGTCCTTTAAATAAATGGTTGCATGCTCAGTTGAGAAACCAAAGAAGTTATCATGGTGGCCTAAAAATAGAGCTGGGATCAGGAATGGCATTTGAGTGGCAGAAAACTTCAGGGTGCAATATTGATGAAAGTAGGCCTTTACCTGAAAGTGGCAAATTGCAGACATGAACACATCTGTAATATTTTGAGAACTCTAAGGAAGTCTGTGAAAATTTAACTTTTGTTAGAGGGAAAATGCATTGCTAGCCCTTCCATTGGCAAAGGCAGCCTCAAGATTGTAGTCAATGCATAATTTTGCTGTTTTTTTTTTTTTTCCTGTGTGTGTGTGTGTATGTATGTATGTGTATGTCTGTTTTGGTGACTACAGCCAGGCAGACAATGGTATTTAGTGTGAGATGAATAACCCTTGATTTTGGAAAGAGACTCTCATTCTGAGCTCCGATGTTCTTACTGTGAAGAAGCCCCATCACTCTGATGGCTCTATCTCTTGCTCTCCTACCCCAGCCTACATGCTGGTTTGCTGCACAGTGTGGCAGAATCCCTGCCAGGTCTTGATGTACCCCAGAAATAAGGCGATGGGGCTTAATCTGGGCATGCACAGAACCCAGAGTTGAGTGGTTATAGAAATCACGGAAAAGTCTCTCTCTAAACACCTTGGGCAAAAGCAATGCTGATATTGCCATCAGCTCTAAAGTGGGAAACTAACTCTTCTGGTTCAGTTTATAGGCTTTGGGAGGTTTCTTTTTTAAAATCATCATAATTATAATTATTAAAAAATAAACTTGGTCCAGGCGCAGCCTCAAGGAAGGCAGTTCAGTTGATTAAGCTCAAAGTCATAATTGTCTTTCCTTGTGGTTCTATCTCTTTGCTCTGTACACAGAAACAAAAGTCTGCACCCCTTCCTCCCCTCCCCCCACCATTTACTTCTCATCTCTCTCTCTCTCTTCCTCAGAGAAACAGTGCGTCTAGGGACAGGTCTCCCCATGGCTCTAATACTGTCTCGGGCTGTTAGGAAACTGTCACTCTGTGAAACAAAATGATACTAATCCTAATATAATTACTCACGGTTGGCCAAAATACTACATGATCTCTTATGAACTGTATGTAACTAAGTAGGAACAAAGTAATTTCCAACTATTTATGTGGCAGGCCCAGGTTACTTCACTAGAGAAAAGTAAAAACGTCCCTTTAGTTAATTTGCATGAGATTGTTTCTGAAAGACCACCATCTTAAAAATGCGTTAATCAAATGTCTTCCAAAAAGTTATCCATGAGGGCGACTCATGAAGGGATGTGCTCCACGAGAGTGTACCACTGGTGTGGAGGGGAGATCATAGGCAGAAGTGAGAAGTCTTTGTCAGACTGGGGAGGAACTTAGGTACTCTTAATGGATCATTGGCAACAAAAGGGAGAGTGCAACTTTCAGTCCTTGAATTTGATCATCTGCTGATAGTGCATACATTTAGTCTTTCAATTAATTAGTCTTTACAAAATATTTCACAAAACTTTTTTAACCTATAGAAATTCGTTTCTATACATTTAATATATTTTATTGTATAAATTATTCTCATCTTTAGTGCCTTCTTTCAGTTTATAAACGGCAAAATAGACAATCAATAATCAAGGCTAATCCCAGGTGGAATCCCCTCCTCTCAGTGAGGTTAGTCCTCCACACACTTTGTGAATTTTATGAAATGCTCGTCTTTGCAGATGCCAAGAAAACTACACACACTTATCCTTCCCTGATAGTATGCCGTCTCCAAAAGGACTCCTTTCTGTTTTCCTTCTTTCTTTTGCTTGTTTAGAAATCAAAGGATGTGCATAGTTATAAAACTCGAAGTGTACCAATTACAGATGTGGGTAATGGGAAGGTTGGTGAGGTTCGAGTGCTGGCAACTTTTCTTTAAAGCAAAAAACACAGAGAGCTCAGCAGCTAAATCAGCTCTGGACATCTGCTGGGGTGAGGAGGCTGCCCGTGTCGTGGGCAGAAAGCCCATCAGAGGTTCATCCCTACACCTGGTACTTTGAGCAAACCAAGGCCTTCCTGCGTACTGCAATGTCTTTTCTGTCCCACCCTTTGGCCCCTCCTTTTCCTTCATGGCTTCACACAGTTTGTGTTGTACATTCATAAGAATTCACATTGACTGCAAAAACATAAATGCAACAAAAACATAAAAGCCTCCAAGTAGTAATATTATATATATTTTGTTCTCCTAAATGCTCTTCTGTCGTTGTCAGAGGCGCAGTAGCTAATTTATAACTTCTCCTTTGAGGGAATCCAGATGAAAGGCCCAGATTGCTCTTCAATAACAAGCTTGCATTGGTTATAAATATCTTCTAAGGTGTCTCCTTGGACAATAGCTACAATAAAAGCAAATGCACTCAGAGTTAGGAATCATTCTCTCGGTGGTAAAGAATGATCATCATTCACATTGGCAGAATCTGAAAGAACTCATCAGAAATCTTAATACTACATTTTTAGGAATGGAAAAGAAAATTCACATAAACAAGGTCATAACAATGATCTAAAGAAATGATTTCAATGCACATCTGCAACCAGCCATAACTACATCACTGTCTTTGCACTTCTACATCTCTGGTTATAGTTATGGACAATGAATCATTCATTGATTTAACAAATATGCTATAGGTGCTTGCTGAGTCAGGCACTGAGTTAGGCATAGATCAAGCTTCAGATTAAAGGCTCCCTGTGTAGCAAAGAAAGTGGCCTTATGGTCTCACTACTTTACTTACTTTGGCAGGGGCAGAAATTCAGATATTTTACACTCAGGGGAAATACTAAGGGTTTTGGAGGAAACTGTAGTAAACTTCCTTAGCCCCCAAAGTATTTAACAGGAAGTCCCATTCATTCTCCAAGTAATCTGTTAAATTGAGATTTTTTAGCATACATGGCTATTCATATTGAGAACACTCTATGGTAATTATTTACAAGAAACATAAAAAGGAGGAAATATAAACTGTTAAATTGTGTATTACCTAAGGAATCAGTTGGAGTAACTTAAATACATTCCATATTTCCTTTGAACAAAAGCTATCTTGTAGACAACTTTCCAAAACATGTTGGCATTATCCATATGATACCAGCCCTTTAAAATAGTCACTGGAAATGGTTTAGATGGTCACAAGCAACCCTAAGAATATTCTGAATATTGCATTTTATTCCTGAAGCTAAACCAGTGGTCAAGGTGTACATTGTTTTGATTTGAGTTTTCCTACCTGGATATTCTGTTTAGGATGAAACATAGCTCATATCTTTGTTATCAATTGTAACTGTACTTAGTATTACCTGATTTAAAAGATTTGCAAACTATTAAAACATTGGCATATTCCATATTCTGAATAAGATAAGAAACAAAATGTCTAATTTCACAGCAGATAGTTCAGGAGGAAAGTTCTTGTTTCTAAACCACAGAGAACTGATTGTAAGGCAAATTCTACAGTTTGATTACTTTCTGGATTTAATCAGTGGTCCATGAAAGAATATAAGAAAAGCGAGCCCAAGGTAGCTGGGAGGAAAAAAAAAATCTGCCTCTATTTCTAAAACATCATGTAACCAAGGACATATTTAGCAAGGAAGAAAGTTTGCATTGAGATTTGATGCTGAATTCCCTGGACCACAGAGAAATGTTCTAAGCATCTTGTTGAAGTGCCACTTGATGGCAATACAGACTGATAAGCAATGGACGTGGAATGGAGGTCCCAAGACCGCTCCTCAAGGATAACTGCCTTGGACACTGCCCATGTTGAGTCCTAAAAGTTTCTTTTTCAAGTTTCCTGATGGTATCAGGGAGACAGTTTAATCAGGTATCAATGCCTAAAATTCTCGCCATAGCAGAGGAAAGCTCAGGCACATCTACCACTCATTTTTTTGGGCAGGGCCAGTGGGAACAAGAAAGGGAGCTAGCTGCAGCTGAACTCCAAGAAAAGAAAATTCAGTTTTGAGGCAGATGAGTGAAGCAGAGGGAAGCTCTGCACAGGACACTGAGGGCAATGATTCTTGACAGCAAGGTGTTAGGGCCCAGGTATCCCAGGCCCAGAGTCCTCTCTACACCAATTGTCAGATCATTTTTCTCCCTTCTCACAGTACCAGGGAAAGAAGTCTTACCTGTAAAATATTCTCCAAATTCTTGTTCTAGCTTAATTGCTCGATCATAGGTTTTCTTGGCTTGTTCCTCTGTTAGACGCTTATTCATTTCCCTGGGAAATGAAGATGTTGTATTAGAACACAAAGGGAATACACCCAATCCTGAACAATTAAATGCAGAGCTAAACAGAAACCTGTGGGAAGCATAATGTCATTTTAGCTGCAGCTTCCTAGCCTTCACACAGGACTCCTTTTTGTCAGCATCCCTTCGGCAACAAGGACGCTCTGCCCAGGGAAATCACTCTCTCAGAGGATGGTCTCTTGGATGGACGCAGAATCTGCCTCCTTATGATTTGTAATCATTAGTTCCTGTTCTGTCCCTTGCAATCTACAGAGTAAGGCTAGCCTTCCCTCAGACAGGCCCTAGCATATTTAAAGTGCTCATGTGTACCCTGAGGATTTCATTTCCACAGAAGAAACTTTCCTACTTCCTTTATCTATGCCTTCACTGGGTATGATTTATAAATCTCCTTTTCCTGGTTATCATTTGCTCGACTTCATTCCGATCCATCGCAGCCTTTCTCCAATGTTGGACAGAATGGAAAGAAACATTCCCAGCATGGTCAGAGGCAGGAGGAGAGATGGAGGGAGGGGAACAGAAGGTATATTTTAGACTGCTGGGCCTCATCACTCTTGAGAGAACTGTTCTCAGGTCACATCCTTGCTTTGATCTCATCATCCTTAGATAGTGCTGTTCATCCTCAATGTGTTTTTGGAAATGTGTGGAGTTGAGAAAACACACAGTGATTCCAAAGAATTACAGAAAATGGAGCAGGCCCCTTAGATACGTATATCTTCCAGACCAAAAAGGCATTTTGCAGGGTTTACTATTCCACTTCTGAGAAGGCAGGGCAAATCTTAATAGCAACAAGAGCCCTGAACTCCCTCTGTTTTTATAACCAAATGTCAACTCCAGGATCTGCTGAAGGAGGATTGAATTAAAATGGACACAGAATAGAACAATCACAAGTGCTGGCACTGACGTATTTTCAAATAGATTACAATCAAGTGATTTAGTCAAATAGTTGGTATAAAAGAATCTCTGATGGCTACTTTATTTTTGTTCTGATAGGAAAATGGGCTTTAACAGAATATGGCTGGGATTATTTGATTCTATCAGTCTGTCAATTACTGGTGTATCATTAACTATATATAAATAATGCTTACATCATTACAAGATTATTTAAATCCAAACTAGTCTCAAGGGCACATCAAGGTAGAAGAAAAATGGAAAATTCTCTAGTTCCCTCCAAAACCTAATCTACGGATTCCTAACTAGTGGCAGCTTTATCTCTTCCTGATCTTTAACAAAATGTTCAGCCAAATGCAAAAGACATTTCGATTGGTCCATGAGTGTAGGCAGGTGAAGAATTTCTGAAAGCATTATTGCCTTGCATGCTGTTCAGGAAGCTAGAGATCTGGGTCTTACTCAATTTCTTTTTCAGAGCAAGACACGAAGCTTGATGTAATGAAGGAACTTTTCTAAGGTACATTTAATAAACAGTAATCAGGGGTTAAAAACCTCAAGGTTTAATTTTTTTAAACAAATTTTTGACCAAAATACCCATTGTACCAAGACTAGGTATTTTTTTTTTTTTTTTTTTGACAGGCAGACTGGACAGTGAGAGAGAGAGACAGAGAGAAAGGTCTTCCTTTTGCCGTTGGTTCACCCTCCAATGGCCGCCACGGCCGGCGCGCTGCGGCCAGCGCACCGCACTGATCTGATGGCAGGAGCCAGGTACTTCTCCTGGTCTCCCATGGGGTGCAGGGCCCAAGGACTTGGGCCATCCTCCACTGCACTCCCGGGTCACAGGAGAGAGCTGGCCTGGAAGAGGGGCAACTGGGACAGAATCCAGTGCCCTGACCGGGACTAGAACCTGGTGTGCCGGCGCCGCAAGGCGGAGGATTAGCCTAGTGAGCCGCGGCGCCGGCCAAGACTAGGTATTTTCCAAAAGAGGCTTCTTTGGAAATAACTAACATATGACATTAGAATCATTTTGGATGCAATGCAGAGGAATGAAATATAAAGAAGTGGGAATTTCCTGGCCTCTCATTGCTAAAGTCAACTCATGTCTTGAGAGGGAATCTATGATCCTTCTCCCAGACAGTCCTCGCCCTGGAAGCAAGATGCCAAGAGAAACCAAGGGAAACTTTCCATACGAAGATGGTGATTTGCTTCAGGTGTCATGTGGTAATCTAGCTCTCGATCTTCTTAAACTTGTCCATGTGATCTGTCTTCTCTAAATTCCTTTGGTTTCCCAAAGACCTCGTTTAGCTTTTTATCTCATCATATATGAATTTATTTTGTCTCCTTGCCTAAAATGTGAGTTGTTTATTTGGCACGGAGCCTGGGTCAACATTTATTCATTGAATGATTATGTGAATGAATGACTGAGTAAATGGGGAACTAGACAAATAAACACAATTAAGATATAGTTGAAAACAGATGGAAACACAGGGCATCCCAGGAGCAAGAAGAGAAAAGCAAATCGAAGGTGGCAGGGTAGAGACCCAGGAAACCTTCTCATTGTCATGGGAGGCAGGAAGAGAAAAATGTCTTCCACACATGCCCTTGGTTTTATGCTCATCAGAACAGTCAGCTATATATGTGCTAATAACCTCTGTGGTTTGATGTGGAATGATGCGCTTGAGAAACAACGTGTGTGATGATGTATCAATGCCTAAATGTGACAGCTGCCATGCTTTTGTTCCAGCTGACCTAGCATTCACTCCTTCCTGGGGAATGGACAATTCATACCAGCTTTACTCTTGAAGTAAAGCCCCGGGAAAGAGTGAACCGTAAAGTAAACATTCAGCATTTAGTAACAGAATTGCAATGGTCTGAATGTCACTGTCACTGCACTTGAGACCCATGAATATGGCTGCAGCAAATTATGCCACATTCACTGTCCTCATTGCAGAATCCAGCCTGCAGTATGTTTAATTTTCCTTGGTGATAAGTGGCTGTGACAGTTCCCTAAGGCCAAACTGAATAAGTTATCTCATAGTTATGGAAGGAAGTAGACCTTCTCCTACTGAGCGCCAGATGGGACTGTCTCCCAATGTCACACTGGACCAAATGTGTCACTGCTGTTGCTCCTTCAGGCCTCACTTCCCGGGGAGGCCATTTATCCCACAGTCTTATTTTTCTGTTTCTGAAACAGACCTTTAAAATGCTCTTCCCAGGAGGTGAAGACCATTTTTCTTATACTTCTTATTAATGTTAACATTACTTACAATATTTGTGAGGCTATTTACAGATTATAAATCATTTTAACATAATGAAATTTGTGGTTGCTTAATTTACTTTGTGCCATCACCAACACAGCAAGCTAAAAAGGAGAAATTTAACTCATGCTATTGGGATAATAATATTAAAATCATTATTTTATCATCCATATATATATTTTTCTACGTGCCAACTATGAGCAAAGTTCTTCACATTATCATTTAATATCCAAATTCTTGGGGCTGGAGATACTATCAGTGAATTCTGGTTTTATTTTTCATTATGATAAAAGTTCTTGTCCATGTTTTATTTATGGAAATATATTCAGATTTAAAATGCATCTCTGGCAATTTCCCCAGAGATTTATTTAACTATTTAACTTAGTTCTCTCTGGCTGCCATTGCAGCTACTGCAGTTTGCTCTGCTCCTGCATCCTCAGAGGTGACACAGACAGTTAGCTGATACCCTCTGCAAGGAATTGCTTTCACCTCTGAGATCAGATAACTTCTGTTTCTGTAGTCTTTCCATAAACACTATTCTCCAGTACTCTGTGGTTCATTCCTGAATGCTATCAAAACACTCTGTGGTCCTGAGGCCCAAATGGGGACAGTAGTTGAGCAAGGTTCTGGTTATAGACACATTGCCATTATCTCTTGCATGTTTTTGGAAAAAGGTGCTGTTTATGTGTATACAACGATGAAATACTTCACTCCTTTATGATAAAGTAACTATATATTTTATAATAATTATAATATTATAATTGAGTACTTACTACATGCCAAGGATGTATGAAGTGTTCTATATTCATGATCTCATTGTTTAATCTTTTATTTATTTATTTATTGTATTTTTTTTTTTTGACAGGCAGAGTGGATAGAGAGAGAGAGAGAGATAGAGAGAAAGGTCTTCCTTTTGCCGTTGGTTCACCCTCCAATGGCCACTGCGGCCGGCGCGCTGAGGCCGGCGCACCGCGCTGATCCGATGGCAGGAGCCAGGTACTTACCCTGGTCTCCCATGGGGTGCAGGGCCCAAGTACTTGGGCCATCCTCCACTGCACTCCCTGGCCACAGCAGAGAGCTGGCCTGGAAGAGGGGCAACCGGGACAGAATCCGGCGCCCCGACCGGGACTAGAACCCGGTGTGCCGGCGCTGCAAGGCGGAGGATTAGCCTAGTGAGCCGTGGCGCCGGCCATGTTTAATCTTTATGCTAGCTCTATCAAGTCCTTATTAATGTACCCAGTTTAAGGGTTAGGAAATAAATCTGAGGGAAATCAAGCAATTTGCCCCAGGTCACATAACTGATCAATAGCAAAGCAAAGACCAATCCTAACCTGATTAATTGACAATTCTCTGTCGTAGCCACTTTGCTCTGCTACTTTCATCTACTGCACGTTTACTTTTGTATGAGTTTCATATGCTGACTTTCTAGTCAGATCATGAATATCTGTCCAATTTTCTTTTACTAATTTCTGAAGGAAAATATTTCACAAGTCCTTTGAAAAATAAAAAGAACAAGGAAAGTTTCTGAGTCATATATTTTTCCTTTGTTCATAAAGGTACACAGGTATATGAAGCCGTTGGTTAGATCGATAGGTTCTTTACTATCCTGCCACTAAGAAAGCTCCCTATTAAGAACCATAGTCTCAGGGCTGGGCTGGCACTGTGGCGTAGCAGGTAAAGCCACAGCTTGCAGTGCCAGCATCCTATATGGGTTCTGGTTCATGTCCCAGCTGCTCCACTTCTAATCCAGCTCTCTGCTATGGCCTGGGAAAACAGTAGAAGATGGCCCTAGTCCTTAGGCCCCTGCACGCATGTGGCAGACCCGGAAGAAGCTCCTGGCTCCTGGCTCCTGGCTCCTGGCTCCTGGCTTTGTATTGGTGCAACTCCAGTTGTTGCGGCCATCTGGGGAGTGAACCAGCAGATGGAAGACCTCTTTGTCTCTCTCTCCCGCTCTGCTTCTCCTTCTCTCTCTGTGTAACTCTTTCAAGTAAATAAATAAATCTTAAAAGAAAAAAATGAACCATAGTCTCTCTCTATATATAAAGTTTTAACCAAGGAACATTAGATTTCTACTATAAAACAAAGTGAACTAAATGCCAATAGAAAGAGACTAAAATTTTGTCTACACTTTCTAAAGAAAAAAAAAACCCACAAATTTAAGAGTTCCCTATGAAACTGCTCTCAATTCAATGATGATTGCTTCCTATCATTTGGAAACAAAACGAAAACCAGAACCAAATCAGCCTACCCTCAAAACAACACCACTGGGCCAACGCTGTGGCATAGCAGCTAAAGCCACCGCCTGCAGTGCTGGTATCCCATATGGGTGCTGGTTCAAGTCCTGCCTGCTCCACTTCTGATCTAGCTTCCTTCCATTGCCTGGGAGGGCAGAAGACCCAAGTCATTGGGTCCTTGCACCTGCATGGGAGACCTGGAGGAGGCTCCTGGCTCCTGGCTTCAAATTGGTCCAGCTCTGGCCATTGAAGCCACTTTGGGAGTTAACCAGCAGATGGAAGACGTCTCTATCTCTCTGTCTGTGCCTCTGCCTCTCTAACTCTGCCTTTCAAATAAATATATCTTTTTTTTTAAAGCAGCACCACCAAAAGCTAAATTGAAGCAAATCAAACAACTTGTGAAAAAAATCAAAAAAATACAAATCAAGAACTATCAGTGAACACCTTTTAAGGAACTACCGATGATGTGTTTCTAGTAGTTCAAATAAAACCTAATGTATCTTTAAGAAAATGGGAATGCTTAAAGCTCAACAATGGCATTTCCCATTTATATACATTTGTGACAAAGAGCTTTTAGCAATCTCGGGGCAACTGGAAGTTAATCAGACAATGGCTTCTAGTCCTTTCTACTTACATCAGAGGTTCCAGAGACTTGGGCTTAATGAAGATGGCAATGGGATAAAGCTGGGCAACTTGTAGCCGCTTGATAGCATTTCCTGATACATCAAGTATACAGTGTTTGCCCTAAAAGAAAGAGAAGAAAAACATGGAGTGAATTTAGAAAGAATGGCCATCACCCAACCACAAGAAAATAACGTACACATGTTTTAGAAAAGGCTGGAGATGATGGATTTTTAAAGGTTGAAAAAGATTCACTGTAAAGAGTGAATAATAGTTGATATGAAAGCATAGGGTCTTCAGAGTACTTGAAATAAGTAATATTTATTAGCTCCTTACTAAGTCTGCCACTGGGCTAGACATTGTACATGTCCTCTCTGTTACCTTTATCCTCTTACATACATGATATGAAAGGGAAGACAATTAGCCACATGTTATTTAATTGAGTCTATTCTCATGAAGCTCATATACCATCTCTGAAGACAACAGGAGAAATTCCTAAATCGATGAGGTGGGTTATTATCAACTGTATTTTTGCAGAAGAGAAGACTAAGGCTTAGAAATATTAACTAACTTGCCCAAAAATTCAGGTTCAAAGCCAGGTTTTGAGCACCCACAGGATTGTTGTTTGGGATAAATAGAAATCTCATTGTGTCATCCTAACCTGCATTTAACTTGGAGGAACGGTAATCATGGGGATTTGGAACAATTTCATAAACATTTGCTGAGTGCTTCAGGTGTAATCTGCCCTTGATATGCTGGTGAAGGACAGACACAGAAAGAGTTACTTTAAATGTTATATGGCTAAATGCTGAGAGAGGAGCTTGCACAGAGCATGTAGATTTCTTGTTTGTTAACAAATGAAAACCTTATTACATTATAGCACACCTCATTTAACTTGGCTTCCACTGCCCTGAGTGCTCAAAGAACTGCTTTATAAAGTATTTCTGGAAAAGTAGATACATTTGTCACATCATATTCTACCTCCTGGAGAGAAATGGCCTAATTACCCTGAGGCTAGATTTACATGAAAAGAGAAAAAGACATTTTATGCAGATAGCAACAGTCCTAAGTCATTAATAAGGGATAAAAACTCATCTGTAATGGCCATATGGAAATGAGCAGAGTTCAGTGACTATGTGAATTCTTATATGAGAAATAGAGCTAGGATGGCTTGAGTCTTTATCACTTAAGGGACAAACTCCAAGTTTCTACCAAGTTTTCAAGCAGCTATACTTAAAGCACGAATGCTATTTGGTTATTCACTGGCCAGCACATTTCACATTAACAATGGCTGTTTCTATATGTCCAAACAGGAACGTGGATGTAATTATCTAGGATACTGACTAGAATCAGTATCCATATTGATTGAGCCCCATTTTTGAAAGAGAAAAAGATAGGTACAACTTACTGTATTTTTGGATAGACATTAAAATTTCCAATTAAACTTTCTTATCAGTACATGAAAAGTGGGGAAAAGTTACATCACATCAAGTCAACTCAACAAATTTTTTTTTTTCCTGTGAAGCTGGTTTTCTGTATTCATAAACAATAGGCTCTCTGTTCAAGCACATCCTAAAGCCATGTTCAAGTGCCTCCCTAGTCTATCCTCTCTTAAGCATTCTCCTCTTTTCCATGCCCTGAAATCATCAGTTACAAGAGAAATGGAGCATCTACATGCCTTCTCTAAGTTGGAACTTCTGCCAGCAACAAGCTAGGCAGTCCTCCTTATCAATCATGAAGATTTCAAGTTTTCAGAGAGATAAACAAGAAACTCCCTCAAATAACTGTGGATCCCTTTCTAGGCAACCCAGAGTAACATATCTTCCTTTAAAAAATTCAGCTGTGTTTACTAGTGCTTAGTGTTTACTAGTGGTTAGTGAGTCAAGGACAAAGCAAATCCCCACAAACTTCATTCTATTAATTGCCTTTAGGTTTACCATATCCCCTTACTCCTTACTCCCTCCAAGTCATCTTTATTGTCATACTTTATTGAGATTAGAATAAAGATACATGACATTGCACGAAGGTTGATTCTCTGCTTAGATTTCTTAAAGAATATTTAACAAAAATTTACAGCTGCAATCAGGAAAGAATAATGATCAAAAACAAAAACAAAAAATGCAACCTGCACCTGAAAACCTTGTTTCAAGGTACTATATGAAAAAGAGAGAACATACCCTTTCTGCTACAAATCTCACAGATTGCACACTGGTTCCATATAAATTGTCATTGTACTGGCCAGCTTCTATAAACTTGTGCTCTTGGATGTCTTTCTCCATTTGTTCTCTGGAAATGACGAAGTGATAGTCTCTGCCATCCACCTCATAGTCACGCTTTGGCCTTGTGGTATCTTTAAGATAAAGCAAAACACAACGAAATTAAGGTGCATTTATAGTCATAAAATTTATTTACACCTATTTTCTCCACTGTGCCTCAACACAGATCCATGGATATATGTAACATGATGGACCATGATATATAAATAGCAACTGAAAACATCATATACTCCCATCATAAACAACTACAAGAGTAACAAAATATATGGAACAAACTATTTTCAGGCAGTATAGGTCTGGGATCCTTGACAGTGAACTCTACATTCATCCCACCCCTCTGATCAGGTGCCATTTCCAAACACAGTGTTAGCAGGCACTGCAGGCCAGCCGGAACTGGGCATTTAAGATCCCAGAAAAGCTGTATTTTAGGAAGTTATTTAAGACCTACTCTAGAAGTCCCTTCACAAAGTCTAAAACTAAGCCACTACTAGAATAAGTAAATTATTGTCTGTCAAAGAAAAAATTTAATATTCTGTAAAGGAAGATAATAAAATTCAGACTCTCAACTATATAGTATCATGATGTATAGCACACACAAAAAAAGATTCTGAGATAAGGATAGAAGCAGGAAAATGTATCATAACCAGAAGTAAAACATAGTTAAAGTTATAAATATATTCTGTGCTTTAAAATATATAAAATAAGAGAATAACTACTAAGGTGAGACTAAAATCAGCAACTCTATTCAATCTAATGTTGTTAAAAAAAAGGGAAATAATCTAGCAATATGAATTAAAAAAAAGTTAAAATATTTCCAATTTTGGACTCAATACTTTCTTTTTGAGACTATATCTTAAAAATGACAAAAACTTTGAATGTACTTTTATTGTTTTACAATATTAATAAGTAATAATAAGGCCGGCGCCGCGGCTCACTAGGCTAATCCTCCGCCTTGCGGTGCTGGCACACCGGGTTCTAGTCCCGGCCGGGGCGCCGGATTCTGTCCCCGTTACCCCTCTTCCAGGCCAGCTCTCTGCTGTGGCCAGGGAGTGCAGTGGAGGATGGCCCAAGTCCTTGGGCCCTGCACCCCATGGGAGACCAGGATAAGTACCTGGCTCCTGCCATCAGATCAGCGCGGTGCGCCGGCCACAGCACGCCAGCCTTGGCGGCCATTGGAGGATGAACCAACGGCAAAGGAAGACCTTTGTCTCTGTCTCTCTCTCTCATTGTCCACTCTGCTTGTCAAAAAAAAAAAAAAAGTAATAATAACACATAACTATATTTCAGTTATAATGTAATGAAAAATAGGAAAAAGTCAAATTGTCTATACATGAAAGATTACTAATTGGAATAATAATTTAAAACAGTCATGCAAACTTTAAAAAAATGTTACGTGAAAAAGGCTATGTGCAATCTTATGAAAAATTGCACAAAAATGAAAGGGTAGATGGAAATCAACGAAAATATTAGCAGTAATATCTCTGGATATTGTGTGAAATTCTGTGTACTTTTTATTATTTAACTTGTTTTTTAGCATTGTTAAGTTTTGTTCAGTAAACATGTTTATAATCACAAAATTGTGCTGTTAATGAAAAAGAGAGAAGAGAGTGTGCCAGGCAGAAGGGAAAGTAGAAACAGTGCTTAAGGATTTTCTCTTTTTCTTCTGTTCCTCTCAAAGTGGGAGATCCAACTGGAAACTTTTCTATAAACAAATTAATATTTCATTTGTTCTTTCCTATCTGAAGACCCTCCCAGGATATGTTCTATGGTAAATCTCCCCCAAAGTCCTTGCTGAGAACTGTTTCATGAGACACAGAAATCATCCTAGTCTCTTTGGTCATGTACTGTTCACGTATAATTCCCTGTATGCTTAAGCATTCCAGGTGAAATTTGTAGTATTGAAACATTAGAGGCACTTGTAAGCCTAAAACTTTTAAAAAGGGGGAGGGAGGGAGGGATTTATTGAGATTAAATTTAAGAGCTTCCTTATCTGATGAATTAAAAATTTCTAGTAGGCTTGTCTGCAAACATAGGTCTCCATGCTTTTCTATGTGACATAGTAGGGGCGGGTGAGTGAAGCACAGTAGTGGTGGTGGTAGAGGGGAGAGCTGGAGCAGACAGAATCTTCTAGGGCAACACTCAGAGGGAGCAGGAGATCTGATGGTTGTCTATAAAGGCAAAGAAAGCAGATGAAGGCCTGTAATGGCATTCCAGGTATATAAAAGCCATATCCACCTTCTTGTCTTCATCCTTCCAAAACCCAGGACTGACAAAACTCATGGGAAAAGCTATTCGGTCTTGGGTTTGACACATGACCTCAAGTCATCTTGGGATGATTTTAATATATAGCTTTATTTCTGATTTTTCTCATCCTATGGAAAAAAGATGCTTCAGTGGCATTTCAATAGAAGTATAAGGAGATACTAGGTTTTAGGCCTATCACAAATCTTATGCTGTTGTAAATGCTAGGGGTTTAACAAAGATCCACCTTGCCTTCTAGGGGACTGCAGTCAGTTTGAAAGAACACTATTACATTTACTGGAGAACCATTTATGGCAGCTTGGATGAAAAGTGTTAGGCACAGAAATTTTAAAAAGCATTCAGATAATAGGCAATGGATGGCACATGAATCACTGGAGAGACGACTGGAGAACAGAATTACGTTTTATCATCTCATAAAGAAATCAAGCTTTTTATTTTCCTGGAAGAAAGAATGATACTTACGTGGCACGCAGGAGCCAAATTTATCTGGGAATTCAGATATCAAGTCATCATTGATCCGATCCTTCATGGGGCCCAGGATAATCACTGGCCTCGTATAGTTTACTGTGGAGAGGAAAAGGAATATGCAGGTGAGGAGAAAGACTTGGAAACAACTGCAAAACTGCCCTGCAAGGGTGATTCTAAAGGCAAAATTGCCAAATGGGAAGAAATACTCAAAGCATTGTTTTTATAGATGAATTACCCATGCAACCCTGCATAGACAAACTGATGATTCGATGTTGGCTGTGCTTATTTTCTGGAATTTACTAACAGGGAAAAGCAACTGCAGCGTCAGTGTACAGAAGGAACCATTTGGAGGAGTTTTGCTTATTCTCAGGTTATGCCTACACAATGTCAAAACAACTGAATTTAGTCAACTGAGTGGGAGAAAAAAAAGAATTCGACCCAGCTGTTTGGCTACTGTTCAGACAGATTTTTAAAAGCAATTGTTAGTAGTAATGAAACCTTATGCTTTTATAGTTTCTTTTCCCCCTCAGCTCAAAATACTTTCTGTACTCTGTTTTTTTTTTTTTTTTGACATTTTTTTTTTATCTGGGATTAAAAGGAACTCTAAATTTCATTACAACTTCTCATCTGATGCTTCAGTTTTCTCCACAATTTCATTAGCGTTTGTATAAATGCCTCCAGGAGAAAAGAACTCGGGCTCCCGGAGCATCTACAGATAGCAGGCAACTCAGACGTGTTTGTGAGGAAGTCCTTCTCCACACTGCGCTGACATCAGCCTCCCGGGAGACTTCATCCAGCAGTCCTGTAGCTGGGCCCTTTAGGTGACTCAGATGTTCTCCTTCCACTGAGGATTACTCATCTCGAGGGCTGCTCCATCCTCGTGGGAGCTTTGATTGTCCATGCAGGGAAGCTGGTTGTTTGATAATACAGACAAAGAAAAAGAGAGCAGGGTACAGTCTAGGGGCAGCTAAGTATCAAGCAGAGTTTATTTCCCTTAGCTCTCCAGTCTTGTCATCTTTTGATGGTGTCACCTGTTATGGCCTGGAAACCAGGAACCAGAGTGCATGCCGGGACACTTACTTTCCTGCCTTGTGACAGGCTCATAGGAAAGAATGAAGTCTTCTTGTCCTCCTGAGAAGAGAAGAAAGGAGAATTACAGTGGCCTAACAACCAGTCGTATACTACAGCTACAAGCCCTGCTCTGAAACTCAGAAAATTGACACAGTTGAGGGTTAATTTTCCTTTCTCTCTCTCTATTTGAAACATTAAAAAAAAATCCCTTCATCTTCATAAAACTCTTCAGTACTATTTTAGTGCCAGGGGATCACGGTGCCATAACTATCAGTAATAACTGGCTGCTGGCTATCTGCAGCAGAGCAATGACCTGTGCGACTGCTTTCTGTCTAGTGTTGAGAAATGGAGCACCACGACCTCTATACCAAGATTTGCTTCCTAAAATGAAGCCCTTTAGATAAAGGAAAGGGTCCTTTGCCATAGTTTGCTGCTACATAATCAGAAGCTCTATACCTTTTACTTCATTTATTTTATTTTTCCAAGAAGCACACTGTTCAACAGCAACTGCTGCTTCTTTGACTTATGATGCAAAAAACCCATCTCATCTCTGTATGTTATAGGACACTAAGGACTTTAATATTAATTCATCCAAAAAATTACTGTGGTTAATTGAAGAAGATCAAGAATTGAAGAATGCCCTACATCATTGGTTATAATTGTTGCTAAATCATGCCTTGAAACTTCAGAAAGAGAACTGAGGAAGATAGTGTAGTAAAAGTGTCAGCCTCTGTCCAGTGCCGTTTGTTACAACCTTTCTGATTCAGGCTGGGCCTCAAGTCAAATAGCCATGGAAAGTAAATTGGATTTCGGCAATTATTTTTCAATAAGTTTTTTCATCCAATTGGTGAGCTAATTGTTCATGGAATTAGCCTGATTCAGCTGCAAACTCAGGAGGGTCTGTTCTAGTAGTTTCATTAGGTCTATTAGTGACTAAACTTTGTGTCTGCCAGAGGAGATAGCGGAGGAAGAATGGAATATGAAGTGTTTTTCTGAAATCAAAGAGCAATTAACTCCATTGCTGTATATTCTCACCACCCTTGAAACACCTTCACAGTTTGTCAATCCCAGGTTTGCCTTCTTACGCCTCCCCATGAGACTGTGAAATCCATAAAGGCAAGGTCCGATTTCCATTCATTACTGTGTCCCATGGCCAGGCTGAGTGCTTAGCACAGACAGACGTCAATGAATTCGCATTCTGATTTCAGTCCTGAGAAAAGGGATGAGCAATGAGGCCAAAGGTAGATTCTGCTTTGTGTTTCTGTCAATACGGTCATTTCACTTTGGGCAGTAAGGTTTTCTCTAAAGAGATGTAACACTCCATGCTTCCACACGAACCTCTTTCCAATAGCCTTGGGATTCACTCTTATGGGACATTCTAACGGAAAAACTTAAAATAAGATGTTTGATGTAAGTGTGTATAATTTGTGATCTAAAAAACTAGGGCAAAGCATAGCTTTGAATAATTTTGTTAGAGTTCTATAGTTATTTGCTCATCCATCACTTTTGGTTTACTTCTCTAATAATAAAAGGCATTGATTCTGGCTCAGAGCAGGAGTTGGAAGATAACAATGGCAGCTTCCCTATGTCTAGGCCCATCCCAGTTCTTAAGATCCAGTGACAGTGAGATTCTGTGTAATGCCCAGGAAGCCTGCAGGGAAGCTGTGGAGGTTGACATTACATAATTGCTGTGCATTCAGCACCATAAACCAATTTTCACTTTCATGCTCAAGAATGAAAAGGCCTCTGAGGAATGGGAAGAAGACAAAGAGGTGGAGAAAAAAAAGTCACAATAGCAAAGCAAAGCAAATTCATGTCTGTGGCTGTTGGCAGGGCTTGAGGGGCTTTCCTATCCATTGGCTTCTATTTTTCACAGCCATTTCTTGAGCTCAGTGTTCTGATTATCCTTGTTTTATGGATGAAGAAGCTGAGATTCAGTAATGTTAGTGAGGCCTGTTTCCTAAGCCTGTAAGTAGAGGAGTCAAGAGTTTGAACCACATCCTTTTCTGGAGTATATTGCATTGTCTCAAAAGGGCAAGAGATGTGGAATTCTCTGGAGTTGGGGGGTAGGGGCAGGACTTACAAATCAACAAAGGACGCAGAGGCGGGGACAGAGATAGGAGCTGAAGCCAAGCTGGAGTCACTGAGAGGCCATATGGTGCTTGATCTGAAAACATCAGCTTTTATGTTTTATTTTTTAATGTTGCTATGTCATCTCCATAAAATCATCCTTAGTAGTTTTTCTGTTTTTCCCTCAGGAGGTTTGGGACTTAGAAATAACAGCTGACGAAAAGGTATAGACTATTTCTTGGTCTTGTTTTGGCAACCGCAAGGCTGAAAGTGGAAGAGCAGCACGGAGCTGCATGTGGACCTCTGTGGCTGTCAGAGATTTGGCAGAGGAGGCTGTCACAGTCTCCATCAAACACTTTATGTGTAAACTGGAGCAAGTCACAGCGAGACATGTTCAGAGAAGACCCTAATAAGCTTCCATTAAAAAGAGAGAATTTGCTCTTCCTTAGAAATTCTTGGAAACAACAGAAAGAAGGGAAATAAAGACCAGTGGCAGTCCACTTCACATTTTAAATTCAGTTTTTGGTGTCTGCATGCGGTGATTATTAAAGAATAAATTAGGTTCTTAGAGTCATAGAAGGTAAGCACTTAAGGTCTGGAGTTTACGTATTTCCTAGATGGCAAGTGCCCAGTGCAAGTTGTAACTCCCCCATTCTGTGCCATTGACAGACATCTGCCTGTGCTCCTGCTGAGCCTCAGTGTGGCCTCAGAATATTTTCACTACAACTCTTCAGGCAGGCAGCTATTACTTATTGGTCAGAGTTGGGTTCTTGATTAAAGTCTGTTTGCCATGTCTGTCCTAACCCAAGCTATTCATTTTACATAAGGGAAAACTAAGGTTCAAAGGTTTTTGAATAATTTCTTAAAAGCCACAAAATGAATTAGTGGCTCTGTGTCTCCATAGGATATTGGGAAGATTAAATTAGTTAACATACATGAAGGCTATAAAACCTGGTTCGGTACTTGGTTAATGCAATACAAATGTTGCTGTTTGAATTAACCTGATGGGCAATATGGAATGGCTGCAATGGACTAGGAAAAAACCTAAAGAGGCTTGAACTGAAAACTATCTTAAGAGAGAGTGAAAAATATATGAGATTCAGAATGAAAAGGTGTTGGTTGGAAATGCAGTGCTTTTACCTATGAGTGATGAGTGTAGCCTCCGGGATCTTAGGCTTCCTCACATGAAAAGTAACATATTAATGTAAGATGTGTCTAAAAGTCTTTTGCAGAAATCAAATGAGATATTAGAAGTAATGGAAGACTGCATTATAAAGACTAAAGAAGTGAAGCCATCCAAGGGCTATGCTTGGAAAGAGCCTGTGCACCATCTTGATTGACTTGAGCTAAGAAGTCTGGTTTCTTCTTATCTCCACACACTAGTTTCACTGAAATCATTTCTTTTAAGGTCCCTGTTTTGGAAATCCTATTTACCTGGTGAGTACCAAGTGTGAGAATGGCAATCTTCAGCTCCTATACACTTGATGCTGTAAGAGCTTTACTAAGCTTTGAAGATGGCAGATCTTCAGGGGTACTGATTTGTCGAGTCCCCATTATTCCTGCTTGATATTTATGAAAGGTATAATACAGGACAACCAAAAACACAAGGCTGTAGTTTACTATTTTATTGATAGCAAAAATAAAATCTGAAATTAATCCCTAATCAAGATAGTCTTGAGGTGGACTTTTGCAGACAATGCACACTGTAACTGACTACATTTTAGTTGATGATCAATCAAGATGGACTTAAGAAATTACTCTGTAATCCTTGAAATGGTGCAACAAAGGTGTGAGCTACTTATTAGAAATTAAGGCTTGTGTGCATGTATGTGTGTGTGTGGGTGCCTCTCAGGGAACAAAAGAGACTTACAAGTAAGGTTGCCATAATATGCAATTCCAGGATGCAGTATGAATGGTGCTCTCTGGATTGTGAAACACAATCCTGGGCCTTTATTTCTCATCACTGACTTTTTCCTTTTGTTTGTTTTTAGCCATTTTGTTTCCAGAGTGGACATGCAATGATTCTAAAAGTGAAATACAGCACTTGGAGATTAGTGAAAAGAGAATGATTTTGTATTTGTTTATATTGCTTTTCATAAGACACAAAGTAAATTATAATTACAGCAAAAGCTAGGGATTCACTAGAAAAATGTAGGTATCTTTAATTTCAGAATCGGTACACTCTGGAAAATATGTCTGTCCCAAGCCTCTGTGCCTTTTTTTTTGTGCCACTGCCCATTTCAGATGGCTCCATCTTTATTTTCCTCACTGACAAGTGCCTCATAATGCTTAGCTCCAGGGTTACCTCCTCTCTTAAACCACATCTGATGGACCCAGATTTCTGTGCTAGTACCTGCAACACTTAATGCACACTTGTCACTGGTTGATCTCCCTCTTTCCCACATATATGTGCTGAGATCCAGAGTTAGCTGAGATTTGTATTGAGTTTCATGGTACCTATGAGGAGGATCTGGCATATGAGATGCCAGATGAGTATTCCTCTGTAATCCTATTTCTATCCCAGAGGAAAAAATGCCTCTTCCTTTACTTCTTTGTAAAGAAAAACTAAGTAGGTCACCTTCTGTAACCTCAGATATGATAAAACCCAATAAAGACGATTAGATTCTGATTTTGTCTTTCTAATATCTCAGAATCCATTTCCAACTCTTGTCATTCCTTATAGATAATTCAAGATGCTTGGAAATGTTTCCTTTAGTTACCAAATAAACATTTATGTGCACCTGCTCTGAGAGTAGAAAGAATTAATTATTGCTATCATATTGGAATATGACTCCAAAAACTCATAAAGCAGCTGAAAGGCTTGTCCCATTTTATAAATTAAAGGATTTTGGGAAAAATATTTTAACCATTGAAATAAAGAAGATAGGTCTCCAAGAAACTCCAAAAATGTGTGATTTTCAAAGAAAGGCTGAAAGAACAAGGCATGATATTTTCCTTTTCTATAACTGTGTCTGCTGGATAAAAGTAAACACTTGAGAGTTAAACACTGAACATTGAAGGAGTTAGTGTCATTACTCTTTGTGAAACCCATCAAATAAGTTATATTTTTAGTTATATTAAACTGAGCACAGTTCAAGTATCAGGAAGGAAAGCTTTGGTCACTTCTGTTTTGGCCTGTTTTCTTGGGTTTGAAATCAAATGAAAAGGGAGAATGTAAATTTCTTTTTCTTTAATTAGGATAGTCATAAAATTGTAAAAATAGGAAGAATGCAAAAATGTCAAGGACCATGTTGAGAACAAGAATGCTTTGGGTTCTTTTATCAACCAGACTTTCATCAATACTAAAATCTGGTGGTTCTAACATCAAGGGTATTATATTATGCTTTTTTTTTACATTTTAGTTTTTGGTCTATGTCTTCCTCCTCCTCTGGTCCCTACCTCCATCTGCCATCTTTCCTCTTTAGTATTTCTTTTTCATACTTCTACCAATTTGATTCCCCAAAGCTTTTTTCAAAATCTAAATTACATTGGCCATACTCCAAGAACACTATTTGGCACTCTGCCTCAAACAAGCATGGTTTTGTAAAGTACCATGCTATAATGGGAAAAAATACCCAGAAAGATTCTAGTTTTCAATTAATACAATATTTAAGCAGAAGAGAATACCACTTTGTGCTGTTGTAGCCATGGGTATTAGTCATCGGGTCTACAATTTTCTAATATCTTTGGCAATTACTTTTTGGGTAACTTTTTTTTACTAAGGAGTATAAACTAATATTACAGAAATTATTCCATAGACAATATATACCTCTGTTAGTCACCAAAAACCAGTAAGAAGGTGGTAAGAAACCATGAAAACTGATCAAAAGGATGGGCTTGGTGTTTGGTGAATATTTTCACACATTAAGCAAATGGCTTGAGGTGACCAAACAAAGGGCAGAAATAAATTTTAAATAGTTACCTACCTTTTCAGTTAAGCTTTTTGATCCAAGAAGATTTGCTTTAAAAAAAAATGTGAGTTCCTTCCACATTAGAGGATGAAACTTTTTCATCACTTTCTCAACCGCCAAAAGACTACAGTTAGTTACTTTGTAGTATCTACTCTAAAATATTAATCAAGGAGAAAGTGATATAAAAGATTCACACCTGGTTTAAAAGGAACACTGTAGTTTATAACGATTTTTCTTTCAAAGAGGGAACCGGCAACAGAAAGGAAAGGACAAAATCAGAAGGAAAAATAAAACCATGATGATTTTTCAATTCTCCTGCAGGAAGTTTAAATTGTTTTGAGAGATAAAAGGTCAAAAGCCATCATGTTGAACTTTCCTTGTACCTTTTCTCTGAGAATTGAATCACTGGGTCACAGCTAACTGAGGTTGCAATTACTTATTAGCAAGAAAGCTATTGCTTGTGCAAATTACATAAGGGGGCCACTGATGGCCCTAGTGTCTTTTGTGTCTTTCCACATCAAATGATAATTTCATTTCAAGCCATTTGCTTTAGATAAGGATGATAAAAAGCAGCAATTAAAAAACAACAAAAATCTGAAATGACCACCACAGGCAATGGGGCAAGTGCAAAGAAAAGAACTGCAAACCAAAGCAATAACTTACGGTAGCTACTTTCGCTATCGCTGGCATTAGAAGAAACATGTTCTGCAAGAACAGCACAGCAAATTAAAGAGATACCAAGCATTGGAGAGCAGCCAGAACAGAAAAGAATACACTCATGCAAGGCTACTAGAAATGTGAGCGAAAGGCAAGTAAAGGCGGCAGAGAAGGCTGCACTAAGAAAACTTATGCAAGATAAAGGAGATGAAAACTTTATCTCAATTTTACAGGAAGCTACTGCTTGATTGTAATTACTTCTCTTTAGCAAGTGAGGAAAATATCTTTAATTACCACAAAATAATGTCAGTGCAGGTATTTTGAAAAGAATAGATACTAGGACACATTCACATAGCTCTGATTTTCTGGATCCATGTCACAAAGGCTGGTGTGTCTACACTGAATGTTTTCAGGATCGTCCAGTGAGTAGGCACTGCTTTCTCACTTCTCTGTTTCAGTCTTTAAGTATTTTGCAGGAACACTGCATCTCAAACTGCCAATTTATCCCAGAATTTTTTTTCTATTTAAATATTTGCCAAACCAATTTTCAGGATGAAAGGATATTCTTGAAGATTGCTACTGCTTTAGTGAATGAGTAGCAAATCTTGGAAGAAGAAACTAGTCACTGAAAAATGTCTTCCTAATCAGTTCAATATTTCCTTGTTTGTATTTTAAGATCCATGCTTGGATAGCTATTGGATTCTGGAGGAATAGAACAGGCAGGAGACAAATGGCCTGATACCCAGCAGAGGGCCTGACTTCAAGTCATGCTGAATGACTTGCTTGTGCAGTGATATTCCAAAAGCTTTTTTTTCATACAAACCCAGTTTATCTAACGTAACAGGGTTGTATTAGTCATAAGCCAGAATATGTGCTTTTACTTCCAAGTCATTTTCTTCCATCTAATTTAACTATTTATTAAGGTATAGAAAATAAACTCATCAGTCATTAACATCCATGTATGTCATTAATTAAATGAAACGTGACTATTTGATTTCTTAAACTCATTAGCAATTACTTTAACTTTTTAAAAAAGTGACAACTGTGGTACATTTTTAGAAAGAGAAAAACATGGTATTATTCTCTAACAGTAAAAAGGTATTTTAAAGGGTGTTTGATATTGTAGATTCTTTTCAAATGGATGGATTAGTTTTAGAGCATGAAACTAATGAAAACCAAAGCATGTGCTAAATTCACAAGAATAACTTCTCTTTGCATTGGTTTCTGGCTAGAACTGCATGGCTAATCTGGGCACACATTTTACAAGTGCAAGGGTACACTAGGCAGTGTGGTCAAATCTGTGCAAATCTGTTCTCTACTACAGCAAAGAAAGTTGAGGCACCTACTTAATAATGGTATATTTTTGTGTTTATTATTATCTTAAGGATTTAGAATTGAGACTTTGTTTTTGATTTTTACTTTTAAAATCTGCTCAGTTTTTTAAAGAGTAAAAAAAGATTTAAATATTCTGGATTTAAAAGGGCATCAGTCATATTTTTTATGCTCCAAGAGCAGCTACTTCTTAGTGATGTTCATTATCAATAACATGTAAAAATGCTTCTGTTTTCTCTCAAATTGGAGATTTATTAATTCTCTCTGGTGGTGCTTGATGCTACCCAGATAATGTTGAAATCAATATTTGCATTTCAGCTACTAATTCAAGAAAAAATTCCAATCACATTCCATATACTGACTTAAAGATAAAGTTTTCATCTTTAAGGAGACAGTACTCTTTATCAGATTTTGTTTTCTACATATACATTTTTTTAAAAAGTTCTCTAAATTAACAATTCAAATTATGAAGGGCATTATTATGCAGGGTTATATAAACAGCCTTTGCAAACAAAGTCCAGCTCGATGCTATTTTGTTTTGTATAAATGAAATGAATAGCTTCTATAAATAGTGCCCATAGCTTTTAAAATTAAAACAAAAGAAAAAAATTCAACATGTGATACAGTTGCAAAAGACACAAAATTCTGTTTTCACTTCATTGATGCCTACACAAAGGGGTTAGTAACAAAGAAAGAAAAATCATAGCATAGTATATTGATACATAGGAAAATTATTTTAATTGCTTACTGCAATGAGACAGGCTAAAGACATGAATAACTAGAAAATATTCAGGTTTAATATATTTTTCACTCTATATTACTAAGTGAAGATCTGATTATGTAATCCAGCTAATAAATCACTGATAGTAAAACATATCAATACATGTTTAAAACTTTATCATACAAACGCTTCAAGCAGGATCACTGCAAGTTAGAGAAAAAAATCAATTAAAGTTAATAACAAAGGATTATTTATGGAAGATCAAAAAGCTTGATATTTACTTTTTGAGAATGCATGTTCCTTTTGACTACAAAGTATCTCCTTTACTGATAGCAAAGTACAGCTCAATTATGGAATTTGGCAAGGTCATTAAGTGTTTTCATGTGAAAAGGCGGAAGAAAGAACATAAAGTGCATTGCTACATTGCTGTTCTAGAACATTTAGCTCACCCTTTCTTTCAGCGTGGTTTCTTGCTCTCTGGGAGATACTGGGCAGCAGAGCAAGTGATGCTATGGTGGGCATCAGGACCATGCTGATCATGGCACACGGTCAGAAAGGGCAAGTGTTAACCGCAGCAGAAGTTAGAGTGCCTGACACGCTTTGCTTTTTAATGCTGACATGCAGAACAAAACGGTTGAAAATTACTTTGTAGGAGCATTCACAGCTAGGTAACAAATAAAACTCGTTTCTTGTGCATGCTAGGAGTGAAAGGCCCTCAAGAAAAGGAACAAAAGCCAAACTCAAAAGGAAAGGAAAGGAAAAGTTACAGTGACCATTCCTGGAAACTTACTCAGAGTCTTTGTTCCATAACCGTCGTCACCTAATCCGGGGATGTCCTGCATGGAAGTCCCCAGAGAGAGCAATGAGAGAGGAAGAACAGCCACGGAAGAGGAAGGAAGAAGTCAGTGGAGTTGAAATGGATACTACCATGACGGACCGCGTTGCCTGAGCAGTCTGGATCCCTGTCTCGCTGCCTCTGAAATAGCTTTTACCCCAAACTCTTTGGGCTGAGGCTCAAGAAGGAAACCTCTGATTTGGAAAATAACTTGAAAGGTTTAAGAAGATTATGACAAAAAAATAAATAAAATTAGCAAATACTTTTTTTTTTGCCCACTGTCAGTTTTGCCACTTAGGTGAATGATAATCTCCAAATTTTATATCAAATTTTTAGATTTAGCATCCACCAATACAAGTTTGCTGCTCAGTAAGAATTTAATATTTGCTGGGAAAGAGTGAGCAAATGTGTTAGGAATCAAGAAAGGTAACCAAATTGCCTCTTAATTAAAATATATGTGGCAATGAGATCCGGTATTTCTGACCAGAAAAGGATTCGTCTCAAGCCCTAGAGAGTTGCATGATACTGAAAGGCATGCCAGACCCAGTCCTGGTCACAGATAAGTGCCGGTTGGAAGCAAACCCCCAGTTTTAGCAAGTCTCTGTTCAATGCAATCTGAAAAGAAGAGCTACATGAAGGAAAGGATCCAGACTGCAGCCAAACACTGGTCACAGTAGTAAGACCTGACCTGCCTGCCTGCCGTGTCATTTGCCTAGGCGTGTAGCGTGGGAGAGCCTACATCATGCGTGCTGCCCGTGAAGGTTTTTTTCTCTTGGGTTGCCTGTGACATTATCTTCGAGAATCTACTTACGTTCAGGATCACTGGTTTCCTGCTCACTCTGCTCCTTGTTCTTGTAGAATGGGAATTTTCGTGAAAAGATGAAGCTCTTTTTACGCTTGTCATTGAATGACTGTGAAGGAGAAAAGGCATGGGGCAAAAACAGGGGACGTCTAATTGTTGTCACACTCATGCTGACAAAACAACTAGTTTGTAAAAGCAGAGAGAGCTGTAGTGACGCAAGTGGATTCTTTCCAGAGGTGCCATAGGGCTCTAAAGGCAGATTTTGTTTTCAGGGAGAGTAAATTCTGGATGATGGCATCTGAGAAAAATTGTTTCCTAATCAAGACTGTGTACAGACAAACAGTGATGGAGGGCAGGGGTCTTAAATTTGGAGCCTAAGACTCAGAGTCCTTGCCCTGGCTCTACATCTCACTGGTCTGTAATACTATAAACAGGTAATCAAGTCTTTCTGAACCTCCATATTTTCATCTGTAAAATATGGATAACCAAGATAAATATAAAGTGCTATACAAATGTCATCTTATCTGTCATCGGGTGGAACAGCATTGATTAGAGAAACTAGTTTTCTTTTTGGAGCCTAGTTATCTTTTAAAATAACTTCAACTTGAGTTACTTCAGCCTGAATTTAATTAGAACTATAGACAAATGTGTAAATTTATGATATGAAAAATTATGATATTTTAGTCTTACACACAGATAGATGATAATTATAGCACAGCATAGCATTTTTATTAAAAAGAGATTTTAAAAATAATTTAGGCTCAATTCCTCATTTTATAGATACGGAGCCAGAGATACAGATAGTCTGAATTCTGTGCCAATATCACAGAGATAGTTGGTGACAGCAGAAGATAGTCAACCAAAACCTATTTAAACTGATGTGAAAGGGATATTAACTTGATATTCACTCAGCAAGGGAGAAAGGATACTCACCTGCGTTCTGATAGGTTAAATATAAGAATGGCTATCTTTAAGCTGTCTCACTAGCTTAAATGAAGCTGAATTAAAAATAATGCATTTAGGGCCCGGCACTGTGGCATAGTAGGCTAAGCCTCCACCTGTGGTGCCGGCATCCCCTATGGGCACTGGTTCTAGTCCCAGCAGCTCCTCTTCCAAAGAAGCTCCTGGCTCCTGGCTTCTGATTGGCTCAGATCTGGCCATTGTGGCCATCTGGGGAGTGAACCAGCAGATGGAAGACATTTCTTTGTCTCTCCCTCTCTGTGTCTGTAACTCTACCTCTCAAATAAATTTAAAAAATTTAAAAATGCATTTATACATGATATAATACAGATATGACAGTTTATTAATTCAAGTATATATCATGGACTTGCCTGGAACTCTCCTTAAGAAAATTCCATTTGTTTCATTGTTGTTGTTATTATATAAGTGTTATGTGGTTTTCTTTTTTGGAAAACATGTTCACAGACATTTTATAAGCTATGGGCCATGTGAGTGTCACTCATTTCACATTCATATATCAGTAAACAATGTTGCTCCAGATTAATTACCACACTCATTTGATTTGGTTTGAGGATCTTCTAAACATTTACAAAATTTAAAATCATTCCCAAAGAACATGATTTAATATCACATAGGTAGGAACTAAAATGAGTATGTTAAAGACTCTGAGGGTAATTTTAAAGGAGTATTCTGAAACAGTTTCAGCAATGGCAGCAGTTAGGAACAACTGAAGAGCCTGCAACATGAATTCTTGGAAGGGAAGAACACTTGTTTGGATGTATGCATTTTGTTCCATTGGAGGTGATCAATCAATTGGCCTTGTGGATTTGAAGCTTGACAAAATGGTGCAAATAACTTGTTTTTTGGTGTACCTGTGTACTCTTATATCAAATATCCAATTTGACAGTCATGTCCACTGAGGAGACATTAAAGGACTAAAACATTGGTGCTGTCATTAGTTACTTTTTTAGGTACTATAAACTTGCACCAGAGTCAGTGGAGCTTAAATTTTGTTCCTTGAAGAAAGTTTTATGAAAAATAGTAAATCAATTGCGTAACAATTTTTGAAATTGGGGATAAATTTTCTACTTTGCTTTCAAGTTCTAAAAGTACATTCTCTGGAAAAAGAAGAATGATCACTTCAGAACGTTGTACTCTGCTGACAGCACATGTAGGCAATAGAGTTTTGTCACAATTTATAATGGGCGACTGATGTCCAAAGACAAAGTGGGGAACTGCCCTGTAAGTTCAAGTTAAAAGTGATAATCCTTAAAGACACATCAAATATTCTTGCATCACTCCAGTTTCATGCCACTTTTACATTTCAAGCATATTTAAACTTCAGTAACTGAAAAAAAATGTAAGAATTAATGGTATGTGATACTGCAAGGTATGTTAGACATTTATATTCAACATTACAAATGACTTGTCATGCAAAAAAAATTATGAATTTTCATGCAAATATACAAAATAATGCCAAGAGGAGTAAAGCCAGGGGTGAAAAACACTGACACAGATGGACAATTTGAGGCCTTTGGGCGTCAAATGAAGCTGCATGCAAACCGTATCTTTTAAGTGTGTCCAGGGCCAAAGGAAAATGAAAAGGTGTTGTCTGTGATTAATTCTTTTATGTATCAAAGCAAGAAATGTAACCTGTTAACATTTCTCAAGTATGAAAATATTGTGTATCATGGGTTATCTGATAGGGACATAATAGTACTGAGCACCACACCATGTAAAAGAACAGAAATCACATAATAATACCTCAAAAATAAAGTTATCTAATATATCAATCTTATTAACAAAAGCCATTCGGCATTAGAATTAAAGAGAAGGTAATGGCATTATTGGTGGTTATATTTCCTTGCATTTATGGACACCAAATTGTACTTTTAGTTCACATTCAACAGATTTAAAAGTCACACATTTAGAGTCTTTATTTAAACATTTCAACTGTAAGAGATTATAGGTAGCTTATAATGCTCTAACATTATTCTTTATGTTTATTAGGCATGTATAACACCATTATATAAGCTTTTTGCTGGAGCAATTTTTATTTTAATATAGAAAAGGAAAATCTGTTACACGAATGCTAGGTGAGAATAATAAATTAGCACTTTTACTATTGATAGAACACATGGCTCTAAAGCAAACGAAGGCTGGTTTACAGTTCTATTCTTATTTGTACTTGATCAATGCTATTCTTTGTCTCTTAACATTACAGTATCTTAAATTCTGATCTGTTGTTTTCATGGCAGGAAGTTTGAATAGAGACTGAAAATATCAATCAAACTTGGCATGCGGCAAATTGGCATTATCAAAGCATTCTGCTTTGGAATCTGAAGTGAATTATTCTTGTGAATAAAAGTGACTCAACAACAACTAACATTTATTGAGCACTTTCGTGCCAGATGTGGTCCTAAAAGTTCTATTTGGGTTAATCTCCATGCTAACTTCATGAAGTTAGCACTGTCATTATCCCATATTACAGACCAGGAAACTGAAGTTTACACATCTGCTATTATTTTACCAGAGTTACACTGAGGGGAACAGTGAAGTCAGGAATTGAATTTGCAAATATTCCTGGTTTCTAATAATGGTGTTCTTATAAGCATAAGAGGTTTCCACAAACCAAGTCTGCTTCAAGTTTATAATTCAGAGGACTAGCATTTGACTTTCTTAAGTGATACCACAATCTGTTATTCCATAGTTTCATAATTATTTACTTATGCCATTAGGTGTTATCAGATTGAACAACATCTTTTCCTGTTATTCTGTTACAATTATAATACCCATTTATATTTTTGAGGGTTCTATTCCACTTGTTTTTGTTCTTATGGTAAATGTAAAACAAACAGAGAAGAATCTCAGAGGGACAGATTGTACGATGATTAAAAGGTAATTACCCATCATAGGCAAATCTATAGAAACAAAGTCGATTTTTGTAGGGGTGCAGGGAGTGGGAAGTGACAACTAAAAGGCATAGGTTTTTTTTTTAGGAGAGATAAAAATGTCCTAAAATTAGATTGTGGTAATGGTTGCATAATCCTATGAATACACTTAAAAACTCTGAATCATACACTTTTAGTGAGTGAATTGTATATGATGTGAATTATATCTCAATAAAGCAATTTTAAAACGGAACCTCTCCCCAACCACACACCCTGTGGGCTAAGAGGAAACAATTAAAGGTTTCTAATCTTATTTGGTGTAAATATCTCTTCTCTTTACTCAAATGACAGGAAGCCACTTTTTCCATCCCTTGCAGTCAAGCACTTTCACATTTCTTTTGTTTATCTGATTCTGTCTTGCCTCTGTTAAATGAATACCTTTCATGTTGTGACAGACATTAGAACACTCATACCAAGAGTCAGAGCCTTATCACCTTCACTCAGAAGTCTCCAGGTTGTTAGGTCAAAACGCATGAAATCGCCCAGCCTGACCCCAAGATGCAATGGCAGCAGTAAAAAGCCTTAAGATAAAATACAGGTTTTATGAAGACGGAAAACAACACGAAAAACTCGAATCACTCCTCCTCTCACTCAGATTCCATCTTTTGAAAAGCACGTGAGTGATCTTGACATATTTTTATCATTTTATCCTGTTCATCCAGAAAACTTCAAAACCAGGGACATGTTTTCACTTTTCTCATCTTCCTGTTCTAATTTCTCAAGCTTCAAATGTTTCGTAGTTCTAAAATGTCACCTTCGTGATACGAATGTTCTCAGGGAGGAATTCAGATTTAAATTTATACTGAGCTCAGATACACCTTTTTCGTGGCCTCTGTATTTTTTATAAATGCTTCTTTCCTCTTAGTTCATCCTTTTTTAAAAAAGATTTACTTTTTATTTACTTGAAAGGCAGAGTTACAGAGAGAGGAGGAGGAGAAGGAGAGAGAGAGGGAGAGAGGGAGAGAGGGAGAGAGGGAGAGAGAGAGAGAGAGAGAGTGAGAATGAATCTTCATTCACTGGTTGACTCCCCAAATGGCCACAATGGCCAGGGCTGGTTTTGGCCAAAGCCAGGAGCTTGGAGTTTCTTCAGGGTCTCCCACATAGGTTCAGGGGCCCAAGCACTTGAATCATCTTCCACTGATTTCCTAGGTGCATTAGCATGGAGCTGGATCTGAAGTGGAGCAGCCAGGACTTCAAA